TTTGATGTAAAAGGATATTATACTTGGCCGCGTGCAAAGCTGGTTCTTTCTATAACAAGTAAATATTATTGCGTTTGAGATATTTTTACTTTTTAATGCTAAAGTCGATGCGCGATCTTTGCTAAATTTATTCATTATTTATTGTTCATAATTTATATGATACGGTTACAGAATTAAATACGCACATGTCGACTTTAACTTCCTTATCAAATATCAGCCTTTTTTTCTATGCACGTCATTATGCAGGAAATCAATCCGTGCATATATCCGCGTATATCTACTACGATAATACGTGCTATTTAAAGTCGAATCTCTTTTCTCAATAGCAGAGTAGTAATATATCAATTTGGGGTTGCAATAAGCAGTCTCTACATCTATCGGCCTTGACATCGACATTTGCAGCTACGCAGTTGCAACAAAGTGCATCACCGATATCTGCCAACTGTTAGAACGACTACGAAAACACACTCGTAAATTTAACGTCGCAAAACGGCTCAGACGTTCTCACTATAATATTTTTCGCGCGTTAGAAATGTAACGGAATATTATACATTTTTATCGGACAGCGTATATTGTGTACAGTTGTTGGCAAAGGGATAACCCCGTAATCTATATTTCATGCAAATATTTTCCGCGGCCGATGACGAATCTTGGCGCCCGTACACCGGGCGCGGAAATCGGTTCGATGCTACTTTCGCGAGTGACGGTGCATCGACGCCGACGCGAAACGTTTTTATAGATGCCATCGGCCTTGTCCTTGACATCGACCGCAGTGTCCTGACGCTACGCAGGCGGCACGTAGTTACATCGAGAGATATCCGATATGCGGTACGAGTTTGCGGAGGAGTTTACGTAGGAAGGGGGATTTAAAGGGGGTAGATATATATAGGGGATGCGAATAACATATCGGGATCAAATGGGTGGCGCGAAAATTTATTCACTCTGACCGTAGAATATTTCATAAGATTACTAGAAAGAAGTTTGAGAAAGTAATCCTCCGATATGAAAGACGTAAACGAACGTTTGTTTGCGCAATGTAAATGATGATTTTTTTTCTGATTTCTTTACATAGTTTATGATTTGCAACTGTGTAACTACTCGTTCTGTACGTTTTATTATGGATAGAGGAGCCTCAGATTATTTCCGTGTATATTGACATTATGTACAAAGCAGAATTGCTTGAAATAAAACAAGGACAAGTTCGACTAATCGCGAATAAGATCGTATTTCACGACTATTTATTAACACAGTATATTTTGCGCTCGTAGAGACTGTATACGATTGGACGTCTATAGGTAAACAATATCTAAGTGTAGACTTCGCAATTTATATATATATGTCGTTATTTATGCACATTTTCTGCATCAATGTTTATCACATAACATTCTCAATTAGTCACAAAGAAGTCGAAATTGGCATAATATTTAAAACAGAAAGAAATCCAAAATTTGTGAAATAGAAACATTATTTATTTACATATCCCACAATTAATTATGCAAATAATTTTGCACATCAAAAGAGTCTCGTAACAGAACTGTTAAATATTATTTCATAATATTATTTCAAATGTAGGGGAATTATTTACTTTTCCTCTTCATATTTTTAGGTTTTGTCCTCGGTCTGTTACCGCCTCGATTTTTCTTTCCACGTCCTTTAGTTTTTTCCTTAGCTTTAGCCGCGCGTAAGTCCTTCTTCATTCTCGGATCGACTACTTTATATCGACCTTTTACACCAGGAGGCCGAACGGCCCGCTTCTGCGCGCTATGTTTCTTTGCTACGATATACTTAACTTCCTTTCGTGGTTCTTTCTTGGCTTTCTTGTACAATCTACATTAAATCAAAAATCATCTCATATTAAAACAAATACATTATATACATTAATCAAATATTTTGTAAAAAATCATATTTACGCATTAATTTGTCTGGCCTTCTCCTTGTCGTTGATATCCCCATTATCCATCAAGTTTTCCATCTTCTTCTTGGCCTTTTCAAGTTTGCGCATTGAGCGTTTCTTTTTTCTCGCCTTAGCTTCCATTACTTTCTTAATCGGTCTAATATTTAAGTCTTTGACTTTGTTCTGATATTCTTCGACAAGTTCCTTAGGTACAGGTGCTTCCTTCTTCATGTGTTTTTCCTCATCCTTTACAAACCAATCAGGTAATTTTTCATCATTAAACGCGTATCTATTCCAAGCAGAGTCAATCAAATCCCTTCGAGATTTTTTACGAGTCAATAAAGATCCAAGTGCTAAATCCTCAGGGGTCAATTTTCTTTTCTTTACTTGTTTATCTGTTTAATCATAAAAGAATGTGTTTAAGTTGATATAATTAACAGCTGCCAGTAATCATTAGTAGTTTAGTCATCGTTAGTAGTAATCTCGGTCGGTAAACTTTCCGACCAAGCTTTCTTACCTTTTTCTTGTGGTACTACTTCAAAGCCGTCTTTTCCGCCGATTTTCTTTACTTTTTTAGATGCCATCATTTCTTCCATGTCATAATCTGAATTTGTATCGTCGCTTTCATTAACTTTACGTTTCTTTTCCTTATTAATTTTTTTCTCTGTCTTCTCCTCTTCTCCAAGAATATGTCCACCCTTCTTCTTGTACTGCTCGATCATTTTATTTAATTCATAATCTTCATCATCTTCATTTTCTAAATTTTTAAATGCGTCTTTTTCAAACCAAAGTTCAGCTTTATGAATCTTTTTAGTCTTTTTGTCCCGGAAATCTAAATCAGTTAGCAAAGGATTGTTAGAATTGTCAAAATCTTTAGATTGTCGTTTCTTCTTTTGCACTTTTTTTGTACTTTCTGAATCCTCTTCTGAATCCTCTAGACCTATTTTACGATAATAATTTTTATTATAAATTTTAAAGGATGTGTAAGAGAGAAATATAATATATATAGAAATCTTTTAAAATTACTTGAAAAGAAATATTCAAAATTAATGTTAATACTTAAAGCATAATACCTAGTCCAGATTTTTCACTATCTGTATCATCATCTGATGCAGCATCGGTATCATTCTCCTCACTATCTTCTGATTTATAGAATAAGCCCTTGCTATCCAAATGACCTGTATCTTTCTTGTAAGAAACCGTCTTTGGTTTGATTTCCTCTTCGTCCGAATCAGGATCACTTTCTGCTAAAACGTCAGGCGTTTGATCTGTAACTTGTTCCAATTGCTCATAAGTTTGAATCTGGCTTAATTTAAACATATCATCCCCTTCTAATTTAGGTCCCTCATCATTTTTATGAATCATTTTCAAGTTAAGGCGTTTATTCAGTTTATTTCTCTCTTTGCTAGCTTTCTTTTTCTTGCTCTTTAATTCTTTAGCTTCCTCATCCCTGAGTTCGGCAATCTGTTTTTCAATTACCCCATCTTCCAAATCTTCCTGCTCTTCGAGGCTAATAGCTTCAGATGCTGCTGTAGTTTCATTTTCTACTACATCCTCTTTCTCTTCTGTTTCTGCTTGTGTCCCTTTTAACGATTTCCACCAATTAAGCAACATTTTCAAATCCTTCCGACCAAGTACTTTGATATCCTTGCAACATTCTCTAACTTCTTTAGTTGTTTTCTCATGATTGTTGATAATTTCATCATCTATTACTATTTCAGAAGCATTCTGCAAAGCTTCTATTGCATTTTCACAGGCAATAAATTCTTTTGCGGATAATTTATGATATAATGTGTAATCATTCTCAGGATATCCTTCTGCTTTTGGTTTCTTCTGCTTGTCTAATTGAAGAAAGTTTGATTTGTTTGTAGATTCTATTTCTAATTCAGAAAATACATATTTTGCATCAAAGAACTTGGGATCTAATTTATCAGGAGCAATATAATATTGACACACTACAAAGATTTCTGCAGATTCATTACGCGAAGCTTGAGGTTTAGTGGCATGTACCTATAATAGAGTTATGTGATAATCAAATGATAGACAATCATAAGTAAAAAAAAAATATTTCTCTTAATAGTATTAATAATATTAATACCTTTTTAAATAGCTGTTTTAACACCCAGATCAATGGGTGATAATCTTTAGATCGAAATACTTTTGTTACAAACCAACCACCAGCTTTTAAGAATTGAGTAGCTAATTTAACAGCTGATAATGTTAACACAACTTGTTGATATGCATCATGGAGCCAATTTTTTCCTACATTGGGAGCACCATCATTTAAAACAATATCAGCCTTCCATGTCTTCAATTCACGCGAGATAGCCACTCTACATTTATCTGTTGTAATATCTTCTGTAAGACTGATACATCCTGGTATAGGCTTTATCGGAAACAGATCTACACCTATAACTATAGATGATATTGGCATATTTTGCTTGGCAACCTGCATCCAGCCGCCAGGTGCTGCACACAAGTCGACGCATACTCTGGACTTTTGTAAAAATTCAAACTTGCGATTTAATTGAATTAATTTGAAAGCAGCACGTGATCTATAACCTGAACAAAAAATTCAATTTTAGTCATTATTTTAATAACAAGTATTAAATTGTTTGACACAAATACTGTGGCATGTCAAGCTATTACAAATTTTAATTTAGTAATTCCATCTCTTCCTTTTATTATATTGTATATTAATAATTAATATTTTGCTTACCGGTTTCTTTGGCTAATTGATAATATTTATCTTTTCTCTGCTTTCCAATCTTCGATTTCTTTCCCATTTTAATAAAAAATAAATGTTAGCTTTTCACAGATAAATGTACACGTTTAAAGTGCGTGCCATTCAATATCTAGACAGCGTGGTTTCTTCAACGTTTGTGATATAGGTTAGAAATATTACCTCACATGTATACACAATTGATATAGCCAGTAAATACTACCAACTTAGCCATAAAAAATTTTACTATTTTTCATGAGCTAGAATATATAGAAATGAGATGTTCCAATTGGCGCTCGAATAGAGAATTTTTAAATCCAGACAGCGCAGCCATATGCAAATAGGATCATTTTATATCAAAATGATACCGACCTGTTTTCTTCTATAAATTTGTTGCAGATCTGCGCAAATTATGGTGCACTCGCTGCTCGCTCTTAGCGTAGCGTAGATGCAACTTTGTAGTGAGGGTGTTGAGTTATCTCTATTTAATAAAATAGCAATTATCTTTCTAACCGAATTACGTCGTTTTCCTAATATAAAAGGAAGAAGTAGGAATAAGAGAATGTGGAAGGTCGTAGTTCGTGGAATCCGAGAAACGTTGGAGCGACGTGTTTGTCGCACCAACATTTACTCGCAATCGTCGCAGGATAACGCGAAGAACGAAGTCAAAACAAGCTTGACATGCCAACAAAAATTTCTTCCGCCAATTTTTATTACTTGTGATAAGAGTTTTTGCGGATCGGCTAAAAGCGCCGGTGCTAAAGATAAGAAATACGAATGGAATACCAAGCACAGTTGGCCAGAGGCTGTTGGTTGGGTAAATATATTTTTTAAGATAAATATATTATTTATCATAATGCATTGTAGCAACATTAAAGAAACTTTATTGAGAATCGCTATAATGTAACTTTGATTTTATTAGTCCAGTGTATTGGCAGCTGGATGGGTTGTGTGCCAAACTCTTTGCTTCCGTAAAAGGATCTTTGATCGAGACAATAATGAGACTTTAAAAAGTAAATTATATGATTACTCTGGAGTTTCATTTATACTCAGGCAAATATTGAATTTAAAACCAAAGAATATTCTGCCAGTCACTAATTGTATTGGTGATAGTAATAAAAAGTCTAAGCTGCAAATCCAAGATTCAGATTCACAATGGAGTGGAGCCAAACCGTTTGGTCCTATCACCATTGAAGAGGTGAGGATGCTATTTTGCAGAAATTATACTCTGTAATTATGTGCTAGAAATATATAAGTAAATTAATATGAAAATATCTTTTATGCTCCTGAATAAGCTTATCAGAAAAAGATATATAATCTTTATATTTATAGAGCGCACCACTATATTTATATATACATATACATATCATGTTATTGATATATGCATTTTATGATTAATACATACATATATATGTGCGCATTCTTTATTTAGTTATACATTTTCTAACAAATTTGGAGATGTTTCTCTACACATAATAAGAAATTTCTTTTATTTTAATATTGATCGTATTTATTACGAAATTATCTTTGAAAATTAATACAAATTATAAGTAATTCATGCTTGTCATTTTCTTATCTTTTGTCAATAAAATGTGTATTTTAGAATTTTGAAATTAAACTTTGAATTTTACAAAATTTACTGCATAAATTAAAAATATTGTATAATAAACGAGAATATTTATATATTTTTTTTATTTTAAATATTTTTTTTAGAGTGATTGACTCTTACTTTCTATAAAGGAATAAATATACATATAAAGTGCCATATTCTTACATAGATTTTTTATATCCTTAGGCTTTTAAAGAAGCTGCCGACGAATTTTCAAACACTCATAAAACAGTGTTAGGAGAGTTTGAACTTCGTTATGGTATAAAAGCATTAGAGGAAAAACGTTATAAAGATGCTATGATGCATTTTTCCGCGGGCGCTAATCTATCATCCCCCGGAAGTATGTTTAATTTAGGTTTATGTTACGAATTAGGCATTGGAACTTTAGCTGATCAAAAGAAGGTACGCTCTAATATTTAGATCATCTCCAAAGAGCTACAAAAATTAACTTTAAATTAATCAATTTAGTTACAAAAACTTTTCCAATCTATACATAAAATATTCGATATTATAACAAACATAAAAGATTTAAAACTGTGAAAAAAACTATGCTCCTAAAAAATATATAAAATTATAATTTTCCTTCAGGCTGTAAAATATTACAACGATGCCGCAGCCCATGATCATGCTGATGCATTATATAATCTAGGAGTTTTCCATGCCCAAGGAAGGGGCGGTTTACCGGTTGACATTGATATCGCGCGCACTTATTTCGTCAGAGCAGCCAAGCTGGGTCAGATACAAGCACAATATGCACTTGATTTAGAGAAAGCTGAGACTTTGCAGAAAAATAACAATATCTCTACCATATCAAACAGATGCTCAAAAACTGAAAGAAATTTAGAAAAGAACAAGGCAAATGGTACGCGCATAAAATTAAATGGTTACACGGTGAATACAAATGTTGATAGAATATTAAGTACAAATTTCATGGGAAAATGTACGCTCGAGTCGTCGGAATATGAAAAAATAGTCGAAGATCCCACTCAAGTATTTTTAGATTTCCTCGGCTTAAGAGAATCTAGTCAAACACCCATTGTGATAACTACCAATGATTGTCACGTGCCATGTTAAAAAAAAATACTTTTGTTATATCATCATAAGACTCATCAAGCAGTATCATATAAATAGTACAAATGTATTAATTTCTACATTCACTCCTATTTTTTTTTGTGTTAACATTTTTGTGTCTAGTATTATTATACGTAGAAATACGTATGACATGTGTAAGAGCTATATCGATGCAAATATTTGCTCAATTTATAATGTCATATAATTCAGGTTTTTACTTTAAGTCGCAATCTCGTGTTTGTGACATTATTTTCACATTTCATCATTTTCGTTATTTTTCGTTTACGTTTAACAAAACAAGTATATATATTACAAATATATATATAGTGCTTAAAGATTTTTTATATTCATCTTGTTAAAGTTATATGTATATATAATTTCATCAATACACATTGTATATTATATGATGCTTACATTGAGCGGAAAGTTTAAAACTACTTATATTATGTATAAATATAAGTTATATTTTATTATATTTATATATAATGTTACTTAAATCGTGATTGAGTTGGAACGTAACTGTGATGAGCGATTCAAAAAATTAAATGTGAAAACATGCATGATACGACATATTATAATTGAGAAAAGTTCGGATGTTGCACGCCCTCGCAAAATTCTGAGTCCCAATAAGATTGTAATATTTGATATATTGTAGTGATATATTGCAGGACAATTTTGATTTAATTTTAAATGTATATATTTTATCAAGTCTTACATTGGAAAATCTCATTTTATTGAATAAGATGTATATTTTTAGATTTAAAGTTTTATAATATAGTTTGACACAAACAACAGCAATGACGTTTAATAATTCGTGCTTGTACACTATGTAGTGTGCAAAGTACATATGCGAATAGTACATATATATCTAGTACATAATACAAAAATAAATTTTTTTAACTTCATAGTTTTTTTAACTTTGATATCTCCTCTCCTCTCAGAGCGATCGTATTATAATTGTAGATGATCTGCCTTCACCAATGAGCGTTACGTTGCAATACGGTTTTTCTTATAAATTCGCTATGATTGGCGTATAAATTGATTTGGCGATTCACGTCCATCCATCTTACATTACGCGCGTCGTCTCCAGCCTTTAATGCGAGTTTCCCGACAACACTACTGTCTTCGTCGTGAAAATTTATAGCCACCGTCTCCATCCAAGCATTATCCGTATTTCGCGGATCGTCCACGTATCCTTTGTAGATCTCGTCGCCTTTCGCGAAGAATTCCGTTATAGAATCTTGAAGCATCTTTCTTTCACCGTCATCCTTTTCCAAGTAGTTTAACGCTTCTTCCATGAATTCTCTCATTAAGGTGGTGGAGACTGTTTCATCTGGATCAACCATACCTCCCGGTATAGCCCATTCTCCGGAATCTCGCCTTTGTATAGCGACGAACTGTAATACGGGTTTCTCTGTGTGTTTGTTTACTTTCACAGCTTTCGCATTATCGCGTTTCCATCGTGTAACGATCGGATCGGCAGCGTGATTCGGTCCCCATCGGCCTAGAAGTCCTCGTCCTACAATACCAGTTCGTCCCACGGGATTTAAAGGATGACCATCCGCGTTCACAACGTAGTTACCCGTAAAACTCTTTCGATTTACCTTATCTGTGAAGAATTATATTTCGAATATATAGCGCGATAACGGCTAGCGTTTCGCATGCGCAATATTGGCTCTAGTCTACGGTGCGGTGAATTTGTTAACCTCATAAATATGATATTTTCTGTGTATTTTTTTCCCGTCAAATATTTACGTAATTATGACAATTGTCCTGAATTTAAACAAAGAAAAAGTGGAGGGGGTAGTTACCATCTATCGCATTCCATCTTGGTTTGAAAGTGGGTTCGTTGATGTCCGGATCTGCCCAAGGTTTACCCTGAAGAGCGGCAGCGGTATACGCGACCGGTTTATACTCGGGATACACGACTGTCCATGGAATTTTTTCCTCCGGCACCGTAAATCTCTTTATATTACTGGACGGATATAAGCCTTGCGTACATTTCTGGTGAAGCATTCTCGTGCATCTAGTATTCATTTGACAATTCCTTCCAGGAAAATCGATGCAATGAACACGTGACAAGACATAATATATACATAGACCTAGTATTAATGACATAGCCCGAAGAATAGAAAGAGAGAGAGAGGGAGAGAAAAACAGAAAGAATCCATCTCTTTCCAACAACAGATTGCACGAATAAGAGAAAAAATATTTTTTTCATCATATTTTTTCTCTCCTTTTCTATATAATTTTCAGCAGCAAAATATTATAGGACCTCTACTCGATCTATATCTATATATTATGTCTGTGATAAGTTTACTTATTTGTGTCTAGTGACCGTTACTAATGATTTTCAGGCTCCGTATCGCGCGTATTGATAAATCGAATAAAAATTAATGAAAATAAGATATATGGGGATATGGGACTGACTCTTTCTGTTCTAAATTATATTTTTTTGAATTAAAAATTTACGTTAGATCGAACAGGATGCAAGGAAAAAAGATTGAAAAATTTCTATATCAATTTAAATCTATATTTCATATCATCTTAGATTTAAAAAGTACAGCAGATTTTATTAAAATCCTCGAGTTATATAACATTGTACTATATCGGATTGTTAATTGTTGCACATGTTTTTTACATAATCTTTTAAACATAGGTTTTATATGATATAAATGATAAAAAGCATTCTGACATGTGGTATTTTTAAAATATGTGCAAGTCAAACTGCATATTTATTTAAATATGTGCAATGTTATTAAAATATAATTGTAAAATGAGATATTGATTTTTTTATAATACTTATTACATAAAATAAGTTGCAGCTTATATTATAAGACACACATGGACTTTATAAAATTGTAAAAAGTCTTATTCCATTTAATCCTTGGCATATATGTATGGCATGATATTAAAGTATGAATTTCATGCATCATAATAATGATACAATTACATGTGTATAATATATTTACAAATATTGGCTTGTTTCCTCCAGTTCTTGAACGCATACAGATTTTTGCAAAGTATTTTTTTTTATTACAATTTGCTTAGTTCTGTTTTTCACAAATTTTTTGTATTTATATGCTGGAAGACTAGATTAGAAATATCTATAAAATTTAACAAACTCTAATAACACTTATCTACTTAGGTTGGTAAAAGTCCGTTTATATAATTAATCTGTTGTTAATGAATAATACTTGCGCTTGATGTACTATTAATGCCCACTACTTCAAATAGCTCAAATATAGTTCAGTGTTTGAAGTGACATTAAAAGGGAGCCGAAAATAAAATTTACAAAAGATATAAAACATTTTCACTCAATAAAGATTTAAATTTCGAAGCCTCTCTGTTGGCGTCTTTTATTATTCTCCAATTATTTTATCAAAAATAATTATTTTATCAAAAATATATACGCTTTATACAATTTTATTTTTATTATTTATAAAATTTGTGCATTTTTAAGTCAAGATACAAAAATAAATAATTTAATATATATAATTTTGAAGAAACATTATTCGTATAAATGTACCAAAAGTTATTTTAATTTTTACACGCTTCAAATACTGAGACAATTGAAATGATTTCTCAAATCTCTTATATTTATACCGAGATCCATCGCTCTTCTGCAAAGTACAGATGATAAAAACCTCATTCTGTAAAAATAATCTTATTTTGAATCTTGATTTTTAAATCAAGATTAACAGAATGAATTATTGTCAATTGCTTTCTTGCAGATTCTTTCACTTTTGTAGATAAGCGCGTATGGTATTCTCGAAAAAATAATTTAGGTCTAAGATATCGACCAAAAATACCAGCCAAACTACAAGAAATAGTTTTAATTTATCATTGCATGAAAAAAAAATGTGTAAAGTTCAATAATTTTGTTTGAACTTTTATATTCATAATATTCAATAAAAGTATCTCTTAACGTACTTCGATTATATAAATAGCTTATGCATTCAAATGCATTTAGATGCTTCATTGATTTGTAAGAGCGCTCAATTCTCACACCGCTTGTTCTTATTTTCCCAAATCAACGTGTTCGTTTCATTGATATTTTGAGTGGAAATGCATTTTAATATCAGGAATATTGCCTAATATGGAGAAGTTCCTTATTATAGCGGAAAATTATTAAAACGTTTCCAAGATATATTAAATAAAATATAATCGTACGTTTTATTCATATCTCGTATTTCAAGATGTAATTATTTATTGTTTTTAGTTGAAAACTATTTTCATTTTAGGCATAATTCCTTATGAAATAACCTTATAAAATAATTAAAGACCAGAAATCGCTATATTTTCATTTGTTATCGAGTCAGAGAATTCTCTCTCTCTCTCTCATCTCTATATCATGAATCCACGTGTTTTGCTTCTCATAAATATTTCTTTTTATCAAACGCCGTGATCAAATTCGTGATATCCTTCTGCTCCGGTAAACACAACGTCGACCCAAACACGCATAGCTTCTGGGCTAGGTGCCATAAGATGATAAAGTCTAGATGAAGTCTTGACGATGAAAGTAAGAGAAGGTTGCGGCGATCGAACGGTGTTCATATGGTCCACATAGACTTCCTCGATCGACTACAATATGTTAATGTTAATATTTCAGTATTAGATTTTTTTAGATAATATAGAGAAGCTTTCAGCACACTTACCTGGAAGTAAATTACGCCGCGAGCTTTTCTAGACGCGTTGTCACTGTAGTAAGACAGCATTTTTCGCTTGCGATCGAACACAAACCATCGCTTGTTCCAATGATGAAACTTTTTACTCATTTTTGATAAATAGCCACTGCAGCTTGTCGTATCGACCGTAACATCATAAATCAGAGGTAACTGATGTCCGGCAGTCTCTATGTGATGCCTTAGATCTAGAGATTCCGACTTGATGGGAAGATATCTTGTAAGTGGCCTCTGTAAAATTCGTCATTCATTGAATTTCGATTTATCAATAATGTAATAAACCGAGCAATTTATTGTGTTTACAAAATATAATATAAAATAGAATATATATCATATATAATATAAAACAGAATCTGTAATATTTAAAAAATTATTATAAGTCGAGTATAATTTCTTTAAATAAAGGATTTTTTGATGCTCTCAATTATCTTTTTTAGCAGTTGTTGATTGTTGTCTATACTGTTTTTTGTACATAATCAAAATATGTTAGGGAGTTACCTGAAGTTTTGCCTTTTCGCGATGTTTGACAGGCTGCAGTGGGCTAAGGGTGTCCATCTCGCTAGATGTCTGAGAAAGGGGGCGACTTCCGTTTCCGTCGATGATGCCTCCGCCGCCGCTACCACCTCCGCTATTATCGCTAAGCCTCTCACCTTCCATCGATGTTCTCCTGTCGTCTCTCATCTGAAAATAATCCGCAAACTTTCGTTATTTCGTTTCATAACAACTCTCACTATACTTTTACTATGCGCGTTCAGTCGCTAATATTATATAAAAAGTAAGAAAAAATAAAATTTATTTAAATTTTGTTTTAATAATGTCAGAAATATTTAATCTTTCAAAATCAATATCTTGTATTAGGTTTTTCTGCATACATGTTTACAAACTTCGCGTTTTCGTCTGATGTAACGTTTTTTCGTTCTGCCTTTCACATAATTTATCCACATAAGTGACATCGTATTACAATTCAAAAAGTTCGTCCGTATGATTTTACAGAAAACGATGGCAAATATGCCAAGACGCGTCTCGTCGCGTTTCGTTTACACAGATCCGAACAGATGACGGGAGAAGACTGATGCTGGTGGCTGAGTGGTCCAGCGGTATAATTCCCACCGTAAAATGTGACTCCGCACTCCCACCCACTTATTCGACGAATGCCGTGAGCACTAAAATCGCCCGCGCAACAAATTTCGATTATTCATTCATAAAATATCATGCCATGTGATATATGTCGAGTGACACAGATTGCTAAAATATACAAGACGATATTACTCTCTTTATATATAATATTCTTTATATATAATTATAGATACAGAGAAAGAGAATTGAATATGATGAATAGATGAATAATGACACTAATAAATTACGATTAAATATTTGATGGAAATCAATGAAGATAGATTGGATTAAGTTATTGTTATTAGCAAAATTATTATTACATTTTAAATAAATACATCAATATCATAATATAACGATATATATATATATATCATCAAGAATTCCTTCAAATAATTGCTCTCTTAGAGTAGTTGAATGGTCCAAGCGAGATGAGCAATTCCGTCAGCTCGGCAAACGCAGGATGACTCATCACAAATACTAATTTACAGCCGACATTTCGCCTCAGCTTAACTCGATGCTAACAATAAGTAAAGTGGTAGGAATATAAGGAAAATATGTATATAAGGCGAGCATTTTTCTAAAGAAATATTTAGGCGTATTAAAAAATTAATTTATTTAGAAATTTTTGATGCAATAATAAGAAAAAATTGAAGTAGAGTATGTTTAATTAAATGTCTGAAAAATGGCACGAGAGATTTATCTTACATTTTATAAATATACAAGAAAGGGGTCAATTGCAAAAGAGGCTCATGAATCCAACGTCATCAATTCTGTCATTATAAATTATCACTGCAAGCTTAATCAAGATATTACAAAAGCTCATTTATCTAAGTATAAACTATTCTCTGAATTCTGTCCAACGCTCGGCATTTGTGCACCGCGGTCCAGATGCGTGCTGTACATCGGGAAAAACACGTGCGCAATGACGAAAACACTTGCTCCAGAATGCAAATGGATATACTTGCGAAATGTCAGTGTTGAAAAACATACGTCTCCACGACGCACAAATGCATGGCGGTCCAAGACTACGCGCAGACTTCCGGCGGTAACAAATATGTTTTCGGTGTACGTAAAAGTGTACTCTAAAATGATATCTTTCAATTGCCAAAACATTTTCACGAAAAAAATGAACGCCATAAAAAAAAAAACGTATATTTTGTCGCATTTAGAACAGTTGACATATACATAATAATATGATAAAATTATCTTCTGACAGAGAATTTCTTTCTTTGCCTTGTTTTTCTCTGAACGACTACAGTTATTTTTTAAGTATTTGAAATATTAACTACATATTTATTTCGAATATTTTGGTTGATTCACATTATTCATGAACTACATTAGTATTCGCGTTACGTTTCGAACAGAATTGTTCGAAACGTACGCGGCTATATAGCTACAAGACTAAAGTATTTTTTTGATATTAATAAATATTCGGGATAAATAGAAAAAATTAAGTAAATTTATGATACACTTTATTGCTAAAGAAGAATATATTTCAACGTTGTCAATCGTAAAATGAAAGAAACTGGAAGAAAAGAGAACGATAAAAAAAGAGACAAGTAGAGAAAAAGAGAGAAAAAAAAGTAATTACTTATTTATATTTTGCAGTACTCTTGTATACGTCTGTGTGTACAATCTCTTCTATATAAAAACATACCAGTAATTAAAAATTCCACACAAAAGAAAAGTTGTGAACGTCACGATTTCAGCAAATTATATACAGAAAAAATTTTTACGCCTGTTAGGAGGTCAAGTGCACGAGGTGTTCGCAATATATAAATCCACGACATAAATGCGTCTCGAAGCAAGAGAAATCATGCTTGCGTGAACACTGAAAAATTTTGCGACGCGAAGACTGTCGAGAGACATTTCTTTGAACAGGTGTGCGATAAAATCCACATGAGCAGAAATAGATTGGAAGATAGATTTTCGCGCTAACTCGAGAGACGTAACATTTTGCGATATATATATGCAAGTGACCATGTTTAGTAATATTTGACTGAATGATAAAATATTCTTTTAGATTAAAATATAGATTACAATATAGATTTTTGTAAATAAATTATATACCTTTAACATTTTATTAGATATTTAGATATTTTTGCAGAATATTTTCAAATTAACTGTATGAAAGAGAGAAAGAAACATTAATTTAAATGTATATCTATACATATATGTGAATTACGTGCTCAACTTTTAATAAATTAAGTCTTCAATGCGGAAAATGATAGTATTTCATATACATATGTAGTTGTTTATAGTAACAATAATTTTATTTGTACTTGAAGTCATAAAAATTTTTTTAAAATAACATTTTAAAAAAATAATTCACCCGACTTTAAGATAAACAGAATCGCTAATATATCTTGATTCGGAATTGTTTATAGTTGTTTATAATAATTTTCATTTCGTTCGTGTTTCAATTTTAAAGATATCTCAAAGCTGCTTGCGCAATGTTTTTTTAGAATTAAAATAAAATAATAATAATTCTTTCAGTTCGTTATTCTAAACAATTTTAAGGAATAATGCGGCCAATAAGAGTTTTTGAACGCATTGGTGCTATAAAATACTTACACTTTTCGTTTTCTTGTAGGAAATTGCATGCGCCCAAAAGTTTATATTGGCCTTGTCATCATTGCTCGGATTATTTAGAACTGTTCGAAAGTGATTTATCTTTTATTTGTAGTTATGTCGTTTTTCATCAACTGTAAATATACCATAATTTTTGAATATTTAAGCTATAAACAACTACAGGCGCTTCTGAATCGAGATTTATCTCAGCATTTTTTTTATTTTAAAATTATTTTTTTTAAATGTGTTTTTTTTGTAGCTTTGACTACAAAAAAAAAAAGATTATTATCACTATAAACAATAAAAAACAGAATTGTGTATCATTTCCTATATTGAAAACTTAATTTATTAAAAGTAAAGTTGTCAAAAATTCACATAAGTCTTAAATATATTTAAATTTAATTTAACGTAGAGTGTTATATACTCACGTTATCATTTTGAAGCAAAGTATAAGAATTATTAGACGGTCCTGGACTGGGAGAAGTAAGCTCCGAAAGCTTGCTAGGAGACAATTTTTCACTGTTTGCGCCTTCCGCACCGTCACTACTTCCGCTACCACTGAAAGTGAATTCATGAATAATTAATTACAATTAGATCGTAGATGTGTATATTATATTATAGTCTGTTTTAATCGCAACAAAATTTTTAATTAAACTATTAAAAATAGATCCATTATAAAACTACATTTCGTCATTATCTCTTGCATTTTGCAATTTTGTAATTATGTAATACTGATTAATTCATGATCCAAAAATAATAATAATAAATTAATGTAAAAAGGTATGAATATATAAACATATAGGAAATTATGAATAATTCGATTATCGCGCAATATTATCGTAATAATATCGGAGATCTTTTGATATCGTCGAATCGTGTTGACATTTTATTTACGTTTCAAACTTCTCACTGACTGATTTAGCAAGTGCTATTATTAACTGAAGCGTGAACTCTGATTTCCGCGAATTTTATTCAGTGTCTTCGACACCTCATGTAAGAAATATCGTGCACTTTGAAAATCACATTCCTAGCTTCTGACCATCGCGAGACTGAAGAGAGGAGACGGAGACCTATAGTCGACTATAGCGCGAAAGGCAGGTATTATTAAAACCTAACAAGTACAAAGTGACTCGGTAGACCGGTTCGACGATACCACCGGCATAGCATTTAATTCTTCTACAATGTTAAATGCAGCGCGAACGATACCCGAACATTCCGATCTCGTTGCTATGCCAACCTCGGCCTTGGTTGGCTAGGAACATTCTCTTGTTCCCGATAAATGACCTTTCTGATTTTAATAGTCTTTGCACTTGGAATACTTATCAAGCTTCTCATTCAGTAGCGGTTCTAGAGCTATCACAGCTTCACGTGGCATACACATTGAATGTTACTTTCGAAGTATTATAGTTTAGTTTTAGATTAGGTCTCTCTACAAGAGATCACTTTATGCCGTGTGTCGTAGATTAATTTTAAACAATCCAATACGTCGTAGGTAAATTAATCTTTTAAAACATTTTACAGTGACTATGCTGTAATACTACGTTACATTATTAGAGGTAAATCGTTTATCGCGATTTGGTGTAAATAAGTTGGTCATACAAGGATTTAGTATGTGCGAAATACGGCTAAAAAGGTGATATAATAAAAAATATTATTTACTAAATATATGTAGTCGATTAAAAGATTTTAATAAATTAAAAACCGATAACGTAAAAATACGAACGGGAAAGTTCTTAACATATTATTATTATAATTATCTTTTTCATTTTTTATATATTAATAAGTGGTTCATATATAATGCTTAGATAATGATATATTTTTAAATGCAGTTATGTCTGCGCATCGCGCATGTAGATATATTGCAATGTATTACGAAGAGGTCGGAAGGTGAACGTTGTTCTACTTTTTGCAACGTGTCGCCTTGTTAGTCTTATCTCATCTTCATTCTAAATGCACGTGAAACACACATACATATATGTATGTATAATATTTTATTACCGTAATAATAAATGTGATGTTTTGTTTTGTTTTACTTTAGTTGTTTTTATTTAATAATTTTCTTTTTATTAGCTTATATTATATAATTTACGCTTTTAATAATTTATTTTCTGCAAAGAAAATATATATATTAAAGAGAATTAATTAACTAAATCTAGGTCCTTCAAATTAAAATTTTTTAATTAACTGACATTCAAAAGAATCGATTTTGAATTGTCTCGTAAATTATTAACCGAATTATTGAAGATTTCTTTTAAAAATCCATGACTCACAAATAACGTTGACAAATATCGCGCGTGTGCGTCTCCAGAGGACGATAACAGTTGTCGCAAATCCAATCTTTAGCGCAGATGTAACAACGATTACTAGTGAGTAAGGTGATCAAATTGCACCCCGTAATTCTGGCCTCGTTCAGCACCATACCGCCTATTTCCTGGGGTCCATTTCGAAGCATCGTCGACGATAAATACCGAATACACATCTTAATCCTTCTCGTTGTCAGCAAGTCACTGTTCGTCCACGTTTATCGCGTCGCGACGTTTTGAACATTCTCGTATCATCCCTCGATTTTCCGTACACGACACGTTAACGCGAATAGAACCATGGAAAGACACAGCTACACGCTGATATCGTATCGCACGATAACGCCCCGCCTACCTTGCACCACTAGAGAACGAAGACTCGAGCCGAGTGCTGCTGATCAAACCGACGCGATATGCGGCCCTCGCACGCGATTAGTAATTGCTCTTAATAGTATCTTGGATATTGACAATAACATAATATAAATTAACTTTTCCAAGTCACAATTTTTTTAAAATGTATTTATATATATACATATATTTTTCTGCTTTATGATGAAAAAGATTCTTTGCTTTTCGGAAAAATAAAGGACGAAGGAAAATATATTTATTATTTTCGAATATCTTAGATACTCGCTTATTTATCTATCTTACGTCATGGATAGACAAATTTGGAATTTATATCGGGCACGCGTACACATAAGTAGAGTACACTCAAACTGTTATACGCTAATGTACACATCGAGGCACGTCGATGAGGAAGGTTTCGTAATAAGCCCCAATCAACGATGAAAAGGCCGTCATGATTAACTACGATAATGCGCGATAACCCAAGCACCTTGTATTCCACGTACTTCGTGTATGAATAATATACGTTTCTGTGCATTAATTTTTATATGATGTAATAAACTTACGTTTCTTTTTAGCGCAAAATCCCTTGCAAATACATGCAAATATAAAATGCATATTTATGATACATTTAATATCGTGAAAAATCATTAATAAACATTCTCTGAATTCTGCCGATATCATTATTTATCTATTCATGAAGGATTAACATAAAGATACATAAAAAAGGGATTATAATATAATAATATTTTAATCATTAATTATGAAATGAAAAAGAACAATATCTGTTTGACTTACCTTTCTGTTGGTCCAGTGGAATAACTGGAAGACTCTTCGCCAGATTCAACGCTGTTGAAAGACGCGCAATTCATTTTCCTTTCTTCCCATTGCGAGCGAACCTCATCCTGTACGCGCCTTTTTAATTCTTCGACTCTTCGTCTTTCCTCCGAGATTACTTGACTTCCTAGAAAGAATTTAAAAGAGAAGAAGAAATTAACATCGTCATTTTTGTTTCTTTTAGCTCGACACGTGTTACAAAATTTAATTGAAATCTTAAATTGAATTGTTTGTACCTTGCTTAGCTAAATGAAGCTGCCGATTTCTCTCAATTTCTTTCAGGGATTCGATTGTTTTTCTCCCCAAGCTGCCTTGATTGTTTACGATAGGAGAATCATTTGTCACTCTGGAAATTCTGTCGAAGTCTTCCCTGCTCGGGGACCGCTTCTCCTCAGAATATTCAGCAGTGTTTTGGGCCAGACAACCCAGTTCCTCGTTTATTTCTCGTACTCGATTTCGAGCCTATCGTAATCGCAATCATTAATCGATTCAGTAATTATCAATGAACGATATAATACATTAACCCACTAAAACATAACGTATAGTGATTAATCGTAGTTTAATAATTTTTACATTGCAAAAAAATAAGACAGCGTTTGTGGCTTATTGCTTATTGTTGAATTTATACTGGATTTTAGCAGGTTAATGTTTTTTATAGTTACATTGCTGTACTAACTTCTTCCAATCGCTTCAAATGCCCCAATTTTTGTCTCTCGAGACATCTAGCCTCTTTAGTCGCCGTATTTTTTATCTCGGATCGTTGCGATTCCAAGTGATTCAGTTGCGATTTTCTGCTTTCGATCTTGTTCGTAAGCTCACTTAAATATCTGTAAAAACGTACAATGAAATATCAATCTCGAGAAAACGTATAAAATATCAATCTCGAGAAAACGTATAAAATATCAATCTCGAGAAAACGTATAAAATATCAATCTCGAGAAAACGTATAAAATATCAATCTCGAGAAAACGTATAAAATATCAATCTCGAGAAAACGTATAAAATATCAATTTGAAGAAAATATATAAGAAATGTACATCTCAAGAAAATGTATGAAATATCGATTTTAAGAACATGTAAATCTATAATCGAAGAAAAATCTGTAAATATATGTCAAGAAAATTTATATAGAATGCACTTTGTAAGTGATTATGCAGATACAGATAGATATTCAATACAGATTTTTCTTCAAGTATACATTTTTACATTTTTCGATATTTCGTACGTTTTCTTGAAAAAAATGTAGATTTCGATTTATATATTTTCTCGATTTAAATGTACCTCTGCAACTCTTCTCTTGTGGCCAATTTGCTCGCCTCTTCCTCGAGATGATGAAACTCCAAGTCTTCGAAAGCTTTCCTTTCGCTCTCGAGGATGTCTTGCTGCGTTGCTAACTTGTCAGCAATATTCTGCTGCGTAATTTCATCCATGCAATTGATTAATTGTTCGTCCAGTCGAGCGCAAAATTGCTGCGCTTTTTGTACGCGTTGTTTCGCTTCAGCTTGCAAATTCGAATGAGTCGCGTTATCCTCTGCCATTTCTCTTTCCAATTCGTTTATTCGCATCTGCACCTTAATCTTCTCTCCCTCGTCCTGCGTGAGCTTCAAAGATTCCGATTCATATTCCGCGGATAAAAGCGCCTTCTCCAATTCGAGCTGTCAAACAAGTAACATATTGATTTTTAATATCTTCCGAGCAATTCTTCAGTGAAATTTTTATAAGATCGAATTTATCGGAAAAATAAAACAAGTTGACAAGATAATTGCTTTTAAAATGCAATTATCGTTTATAGATTCTGTGCAATGATTACATAATGTACGGCGATAATGATGGTACAATTAGCGATAAAAATAAATTTTTACAATGTTTTAATTTATTTTCTATTTAAAATCTATTATTTCTATAATATATTTTTTTAAATATAATAGATTTTTTCCACATTAAATTTTCTATTTGATCTTTTACATGTATTCCATTTTCTATGAGAGAGAAAATGTGAAGACTAGGAAACTTTTCTAGTTACTCTCTCTCTCTATCCGCAATGTCATCATTATTGCCGTACTTTGTATACGAACATCGCGCACTGAATATTTGCAAAGACTGATTAGAAACCGCAAGAAAACACGATATAAAAAAATTCTACAGGAAAGCGTGAGAGAGAGCATGTCTAAATATTAACTCGGGACATTTAAAGCTAGATAACGGAGATCCGGATTTAGAATTTTTGTCATCAAGTATTGTATTATTAATCAGAAATATATTTTATTATCTAACAGGACAGATACTTACAATTGAACGTCTTAGCATTCCATGCCCAGAAAGAGATAAAGAGAACAAATAAACAACTTATTTAATATAAAATGTACGATGTATATGTGAGATGACAGTGATTCACAGTAATTGTGAATTTATCCGTTAAATATTGTTTAGAAAGATCAAAATATTGTTGATAATAAAATTACCTCTCTACTAATTTCTTCCTCTTGAATCTCAATTTCGGCGACGCTCCTTTTCAAAACATCCATGTTGCCAAGTATGTGCAGCTTCTCGTTTTGCAAGAATTCGATGTATTTCTTCCTGTCTTCTTCTTCCAGCTGCTTTCTCTCTTTGTCAGCTTTCACCTCGTTAGATTTTGCGTTGTCCTTTTCGGAATTGTTTCGCTTAGGAGTCATGCAGATTTCTTTGGGTTTGGAAAGCATAGATAGCTGCTCGATCGCCTCGAGGAGATCGTCGTTCGATATCGCCAACTTGTTCTCTATCATTTCGCACGAGTTTGATAATGGGCCGTTTTTCTTTGGCATGGAATGATTCTGATTGTTATTTCGCGTCATCGGAGATATCACGATGTTTTCGTAAAGATTCGCATTTCCATTTTGCGTCGCTTGCGATTCGATTTTTTTTCCATTCAGTCGAATCGTTCCATACATGGACGGTGAAGCTTTGGTATCGTCATCAGCCTTTATGTAATTATCGGTTTCATTGGTGCAACTATTTCTATTAGTGCCGATAATAACGTTTTCGTAATTGCTGCCACGGGAAACCGAGCCTGAGTAATTATAGTTGCCATTTGTATTGTGAACATTAGAGTACTTTGCCGTTTGATTACTGTTCGATGTAGTTGCATGTGGAGATCCTACGGGAACGTCATACGAATAATTTTCAATTTGAGCAGAGTGATCTTTACGATTGACAGGCGAATTGCCATTTTGGAAAATAACTTTCGAATTTTGCACGGATACGTTTTCATACGACGAAGTACCCAAACTGGTTTGCTTGCCGGTATCGAAGGAGAAATGCGGCTGGTTTTTTGACGGACTCTTCGGACTGTCGAAAGGTGAGGTGTAGCCGAGTCTCTTGTCACGCGGGAGAGATCCATTTGTTATGATCCTGCAAAGTATTTTTATTATACATTTTTATATCTTCCTGATAAAAAGTAAAACATTTGATAAATATCTGAAAGTTTAATTTTACAAAATAATTTTTTATAAATTCTTCAAATCGTTTATTTTGCAAAACATGAAAATTATTGGAAAAATTTAAGAAAATTAATTGAAGCAAAAAGAATTAAATTGAAATGTACAAAATATGATAATTACCGATTAGCCTGCCTCGGTTTTTCGATAGTGCTCTGTCTTTCATACTCGGCACACATCGCTAAGATTTCCTCGAGTCTCATTTTCTCTTGCCTCTCGACCTCTTGCTCCCTTAACCTCTCTTCCTGCGCTTGTTTCCGCTTCGTCTCCGCCTCCCTACGTTTATTCTCCGCGTCGGCTTGCCTTTCCCGCAATTCCTCGAGGGAGCAACCGCTGCCGACACTGGGGGTAGGACTCTTGACCCTCGCGTAAACTCTCTTTTGCTCGCTATACCGCGGATTCCGATTGAATGCCGGGCTCGGTGGTTGAATTCGCTTAATGTTCGGATTCGAGCCGAAACCATGAGCGGTAGACGGCCTCCAAATCGCTGGATTAGAGTCTCCGTCGATATTGGCGTTGCAGATACTCGGATTCGATCCATATTTTTCCAATTGTAGAAACTCCGTGGTGGTCGTTTTCGTAACAATGAGACTCTGGCTCATGTTGAAATCCCCATCGGCGAGATGATCGAGTTCGTTCGAGTTCTGGCAAGTCATACTTCGGGACATCAAGTCACCGCTTCGGGCGGCGACGATTTTTGGCGTTGTCATCCCGAGAGACGGCGATCGTACGTTCTTGCTGTTGCTCTCGCGATAATATGGCTTGCACGTCTTCAGGTATGTTTCTGCCGAGTACATTCTGACTTGATTGTGATTCTGACACTGCAAGTTTGTTGTGTTCGATCGTGTCGGCGTTCCGAGTCGCGAATCCGATCGCTGACGAGTCTCGTCGTGATAACTGATCGAATTCTGCGGGGGTGAGTCGAGATTACCATTCACCGGAGATTTCGTCAAAGACACGAGACTCGATGATCTCGAGTGACCGAGGATTTGATCGGCCGGCACATTTGTCGTGAGTGAGCCGGCAGGAAAGACCTTCGGCGAGACGCAATTGCTTCTGTTTTGCTTCGATAGCATCTCGAATTTGGTCAGCTTACCCAGAAAGCCGATCTCGTCGTCGGAGCAAGAGTTCCTGGGAGATTTTCGCGGCGCGACTGGTGGCTTTCGTTCCAAGTGATGATTCTCTTGCGGCTGGTTGTCGGATAAGGCGAAACTTATCGGTGCCATTGAGATTCTCGAGTGAGGAAGGACGGATCGTAGATGCTTAGCCTCGGCTGGATGATTGAAGCGCATATAGTTCGATCGTCCTATCGATAGCATGCAGCCTGAAACATTTTATTATTATTGTTTTCTTTATCTCGATAATTATTTTATTTTATTTATTAAATAAATTTTGCAATAAATACGTAATAATGCCGCATCAATAAATATCAAGATATTTTTAGTTGAAATATTATTTTTGCAAGTACAAAAAACTTTCTTTGTATTTTAGAACGTCAGTTGCGTGCATCAGTTACGATTATTCGTATTTAGGTCAAGGTCTCTTACCTTGCGCGAGTCTCACTGGCGAATTTATCGGTACACCATCAACAAACGTGTTTCCGTTTATGGGATGAAGAGTGACCACGCCGTTATTGTTTTCGATCGCGCAATGTACGGGCTCGACGCCGGTGCCGGCCACCAAAATATCCGCATCTCGGTTTGATCCCAGCGTGATCTTACCTGTGAGAGAAATGAAAGAGAAAGAGGATAACTATATTTGTCAAAAGAAATCTAGAGATCGAAAAGAACCGAGCGATGCAAAAAGATTTTCTTCGCATCTTTTTATTTTAAATTCATTAATTGAAGTTATTCACCCTTCTGAGAAGCTGAGTTTGTATCATTCGAACGTAAGATGCAAGATAAAAATAAAAAAAAAAAAAAATAAAAAATGTTGCAAGGAAGCGTGACTAAATATCTCTTGCGCGTGTCTTACGGTTGAATGGAAACCAGGCGAGCGTGTATGCATTCCGATTGAAATTCTCGCGGGCTTAGTAACGCACTTTCCAACATAACATGCTGAGTTACGTTTATTTTGGCAGCTCGCTCTCGCGAGTGTATCGGTATATAAATATCGAATATAATTAAATTCTCGAGTTCATCCGCGGAATTGCCTCGCCGCGCTTTAATTCCGAAAGGCGCGTAGAGCCCGGCCAGTTTACAATATTAATTTGAGCCTTCTGGGAATGTCAACGACCCGGCAGCCACGAGGATGGCGGATGTATTCTCCGCCAGATATACGCAAGATTTTGGTATATAAGTATACGGAAGTAAGATTGAAGCGAAGATTATTACTCGAATTAAAATGCATTTTGAATTAACAAAATTAGAATTTTATTAATCGTTTCCACCTTTAAAATTCAATTCGCCATAACCGTTTAACTTTTAACGTTCTACGAAAATATGTACGTACAGAGCGAACGCGACTTTTCACAGCTCTGTAGAATCGGCTCTCGATAGATCTCGATAAATAACTCGCACTAGTTTCCGTAAAATAATTCTGGGCGTGCTCTCCGTTCTGCGCGACGCGGGTAAATCGTGGTGCATTCTACGAAGGACTGCAGTTATATTTAGTTTTAGCGCGGTCGTGCACTCTCTCTTGCATTTTCGGTCTTTTTGGAAATGCGTTGGCCACGACGCGCGTTGTGTTGAAATATATAAATGTCCGACACAGTCTCTAGATTTAAGCTACGGCTGAACTAATTTTTTCTCCGCCAAACATGTTCGGGAGATGAATCAGATCATGTTCAGTATTCGCAGGAAAATGCGATATGATGAATTCATGCGTCGCGCAATACATCTATTTGCAGATTATTCGTTCGAATGGCCACTATATCCACATTACATTAATCAGTTATATTGGATCGATGCAAAATGTATTTTTAATAATTTTTTACTGTAGGAAACAGTTTGAATTGACGCGAGAACCGAGAGCTACGAAGGCGAGGTATCGAAGAACGAATTCCGTCGCGTAAACGCGTATTGTCTTGTATTGGAGAAAGTTTCTCGTGATTTCAAAATGAAATGCGACCGTAAATTCCAAGTAGACGCGGTGTTCCGGCGTATACACAGGCAAGCAGACAGACGGGCGGGACAGGTGCTTGGGGGAAAAGTACGTATACTCTTATCTCGCGCGCGAAGAGAATATTCTGAAGAATTAATAGGTCGCTTTCCGCCGTTAATTAAATCTCCTGGCAATTAAGTTTGAAATTAAATTTCTGTTGTGACCCACTTTAAATTTATCGGAAAACACACTTTCTTTATTTTAATTTATTATTCTATCCGTTTATAAAAACCGAGTAAATTCTAATCCTATTGAACGGATATTACGGATTTGTAAGAAAGCTTATTTTTCATGGAATTGCGTTACTCGGTCGCAAACGGAAGATAACTTTCTGTCGATCAATTCCATCCTACGCGTATATCTATCTTCGTGTAAGCATTATGCAGGTATATGCGTCCGCCCAGACAGATTTATTTGCGTCACATGTATACTCGTTTACACTATTCTTTCATGAGTTCGCCTATTCCGATCTCGTCAAAATTCATTCGTTTACTTTTCCCATTTTAAAAAACTCGATCTTGAAGACTTTCTCGAATAATCCGAAAGTTACGAAAGTGGAACAGAAGTAGGAAGCTTGACTCACGCAATAATTTTATTACGCTCGGTTGCATGACGCATCAACTGGTATATTTAAGGGATTCTAGAATCCATAAACCAAATTCTCGTATACCAGCTATATCCTAAAATCGTTTTTCCTTTCAAGTTTCACAGATTGACAGTAACTTATTGTTAGTTATAATGTTGGCTAACATTTGTTTAATCTGTTCGTCGTTTCACGATTCACGATATTGTTTCAGGGCTACCAGCGCTTATTCTTACAGAACGGAAATATAGGGCCTGTGGGGATCTTAAAACGGCCCTGCCGACTGGGAAAAAAACGGTCTTTACACCACTTATATATCCCGTACGTTTATATATACCGCGCATACGTGCATGCAAGTTTCTTCGTATGTATATATGGCGTATATATAAAAGCCAAAGCGGAGATCTCGAAGGGCTATGCAGTCGCGGATATTACGATCTTGATATTTCCTATCGTCGGTCTTTCAATCTAACCGAATACAATGCTTGTTGTCTCGCTCTCTCTTTCTCTCTTTGTAATACGTTTAAATCTGTATGATGAAATAAAGATTTTATCATCGATTCTTTCCGGCATATTTGGTATCATAGAGATAGGACAGTATCGTTTATTTTTTTTCTTTTTCGAGCCATTCCGTTTACTGTTAAAAATAGTAATTAAATACTATCGGTGAGACTTGGCGCCGGAAAGCTTTATCAGTTTGGACAACGCTGTTCAAAGCCGTGGATTAAAACACCCGATGAATCACTGACAGTTACGTGGCGACGAGCTTATCTATTACTACCGATCCGACTCAATTTCACGCGAATGATAAGAAAAAGCGCGAATAGAGTAAATTAACTGGATCAATCTTTATGTACGCTCTCTGTCTTTCGCTCTCCGATACAAGTGCATGCCTTCGGAATTTAGTACGATTAGATAAATAAACCAAACAAGCTGTTAATAATTAATAATTCTTTAAATTAATAATTCTTAAATTCTTCGAGAGAGAAGCGTTTGTCGCTAGAGACGGGAGAGGGTGAAATAAAGCGTCACATCGCTTTGTATCTAACCTTCGGGTAGAGGATGCAAAGTCACGGCCGTCGACAATCGTCCGCTTCCCATGGAGACGAGATGCGGTGCTTCCGTTTGCACGCGCAACGCCCGACCCGCCTCGTGCACCTCGAGACCGGCGGTCGCTATGCTCGCCATGCCTGTAAAACGAAAGCATTCGTAATAAATGCGTGGTAAAATAGCAGGTGAATTAGCGGAGAGATCGGCGCGCAGACGGGAAACGTAACGTAACGATCCAATTCCATCAATTCCCGGGAACGATCCGCGAATACCATTTCTCATTTTATAGTCGCGTAATGAATTGAGTTTAATGGCAAAATATTAATGATACACAGCGGTGCAATATTAGCAAAAAAAAAAAAAAAATTATTTTTAATAAGCTTTATATATCGCGAATTCTCACGAGAATTAGGAAAACTGTGCAGGAATTGTAATAGTTAATAGCTGTGAGAATTTGTATCATCACCGAGAAGCACCATTAAAGTTATGCTACTCGATGTCGGACATATACCACCAAGAGGGAAGAGGGAAAGTTTATCGAGCCTTATTATTAGCTAGAACGAACGACCTCGTCGAAGATTATGGCTATCGTTTCACGAGAGATCGATCCAGATGAGTTCTACGAGCGAAGCTTCACATTGGCGGATAAGAATGGAGAGGATTGCCCAAAAGGAAAAAGCAGGAACGAAAAACCGGTCTTTCCGAGACGAGCAAAGATTTTTCTATCTTTTTTCTTGCTCCTCCCCACATCATAAAGTTAGTCTACGCCAGGGGTTCTTAACCCTTTTGCGACCTACTGCATCTCGTGAAGAGATTTATGATATATATAATTCCGCGCTTATAAAATAATGTTATCGGGGTTATTGTTGTTTATTCTATTTTTATTAATTTAATTCTCGTATTTAACGAATGCTTGCAATTAATTAATGATTATATTTAAAAAGATTCTTATACTTAATAAATCCGGAAATAAAAGAAATTGTAGAAAGTTTCAGTCAAGCTGAAAACTATGGTTGCAGTTGACGCCATGCCTGCATGCCGTTTATAGGGTTGTTCATCTCATGTGAATGATCTTAACGAGTTGAAACAACTTTAATTAAGCGCGTTATGCTAGGCCGTCTCGTTGAACTTTGCTAACGCGTCTGGCCACGAGGAAGTAATGTATTTCACTTGCAATTTCTATACCGACTGGCCCATTGCAGAGAAAACGCGTGGAAATGTTCAGAGAAATATAAAAAGAACAGAATATAAATATAAAAAGAGCATAAAACTCACCATCACGTAATCTCACGTTTAGAAACAGAAAGACACCTGGAATCAGCTTAAGATTTTACAAATCTTATATTTCTTTGAATCTCATAATAACTATGGATAAAAATGTTATTGATGTTTAATAATAATTATAGGGTAATTAAAAAAAAAACGGAAACATCTTTAAATCTAAGATAGCAAAAGGAAAATTTCTCTTTTAAATTTGCTAAAGTATATATTACTTTTACCGATTCTATTTTATTGTTATCTGCAGTATCATATGAAGAACCTACTTTCATATATGAAATTTTAGTGGTTTATCTCTGCGGTGAGACGGCTAAATGCTTGTGGCGCTATTCGTGTAATACATTCACAACCTGCTTAAATTACACCTCATCGGATTTCATATCGGCCAGTAATTTAAAGCCGACGATTAAGACGTTGGTTTTCGTTGAATTTCTTAAGTGAAGCTGAGATCTTCGTGAGGAAGCAGAAATCTTATCGTTATCTCCAGCTCTGCGTACGTTGAATGTCGCGATATCTCCTCGCTTTTCGAATGTTAGCGGAATCTGAATAGGTCATCGTTGCAAATCTGGTAGGTCATCGACTTATTACAGTTTAATCGCATCGCACGAGTTCGGACGCGGGAACGAACCTTCTCGTTGGTGAACGTGGTTGGATCGATACTCGTGCTGTCTCTTATACTCGCCGGAATACCAGACTGAGGCATTTGATAAGATATCCGATAATAAACAGCGCGCACACACGCGCACACATACACACACACGCGCGCATGTGTCGCAATATGATGGAGTGCGTCAAATCGATAAAATTCAAGACATGCTTCGTAATATGCTATAATCTCGAAGCGCTAACATTCGCTAAAGGAATGCTATAAAGAGAAAGGATTGTCACTTTATTTCTCAAGTCAAATTTTGAAATATACGCGTCACAAATTTTCTTCGTGACATTTCATTAAAATCAGTCAAGACACCGAAAGCGCAGGTGCATCGTCGGTCTCTCGCGTGACTCTATTTGAACAGTAGACACCTGCCTGTGTGCAGATGAATCCATTGGGGTTTATTGATGAATTAACAAAAATGTATAAAAATATTAAATATTCTAAATTAAAAACTCATCTATACTTAATTATATTATATCCTTTAAATATATTTGATTACATTTATCAAAGATAAATATTTTATGCATATAAGGTTAAGAGAAGGAGGGAGATAATTATTGAAAGAGAGAAAGAACTGCGTACTGTAAATTATCAAGAATTTCGTATAATTTTACGAAGATAAGTTAAGTAAATCGAAAATAAATGAGAGCAAATTCTTTGCGAGTTTGCAGCTATATATGGTTACAACGTACGTATATTATCGTGCAAATACAGTTGGTATCGACGGCCTTGGACGCATCGTTTCGCTCGTTTCTTGATAATAGTCTTTTTCCGTCGCGTCGGTCTGGAAAGACGAACTTCGAAAATATTTTTTCATGTCGCACACGCACTTGATACAAACACGTAACGCAAGATCTCGCGCACCTAAAAAGATACGAAGGAAGCAAGAGGCGGTAGGCAAATGGCGTACGTAAATGTTTGCCAGCACGCGAGACGATAGCGTACAATGATAGCATAATTTAAATGAAAACACATATAGTCACGCCTCTTTGTGCAAATTGCAGTTTAGCACGCCTATCTAATATTAGATTAGATTAGCCGTTATAGCCTCTTGTAAAGGAAATGCAAAGATGCTCGTACTCGCGACAAGCGCATTAAGGAATGACGTGTGTCAATTAATCGGACCGCTGTCATCATCGACATACTCTCTTTTGGTGAAGCTTTTCTCAATGGGTCAACGGTTCGTTCTCCATTAGCGGCAGTTAACGCGGCAGTATAAACGTTTACCGATGACGTCAGTTGTGTTATACGCGGAATGATTTACAATGATGCCCCGCTATTCGCGTCGCCTACGGAGATATGAGTTTTATCTTCAACATTCGCGCGAGATGTACACGGTGGGCCAAGTTGATACTCGATTGAGAGATATTCCTTTCATTCTGATTATTATAAAATCGAACAATTTTAAGCAGATTGACATAATGGTGTCGAACAAACAAATCAAAAATGTATCAGTCATTGTTATGAATTTATTTCCGATAAACTGTGGAGTCGACGTTTCTTTTTTCTCCTCTCTCGTAACGAAAACAATTTCATCTCTACAAAGTTACTTTAGACGCGACTCAATTACTGACAGATCTCCGTCTTACGAAATCCCGAATTAAAGGAACAGTGCGAAGAGACTAGACGGCTCTCCTTTCTCGCTTTGAGCTTCGACGGATGCGGGTTTATTTACAGAAACCGTTTTAGCAGGAAGAAGCACGTTCGTGTCAGGTACCGACCGTAAGCACTCTGCGTCCGGTCCTGTCCGCGCTCCGTTCCGTTCTGCCGCATATAGAACATCCGTTGCAGTAACTCGCATACGTGCAAGCTTCGTGCACGAAGCTTCTCACATGCGATTCGGTCTCATATGATATAAAGGATTTTTAATTTTGAATTGAGTAATTTATTGCGGCAGGCAGGGTCCCCTCTGAAGGAATTATTCTCAGAAAAGATCGAAAGAAAATATCATCGGAATATGTTCGCTGTATTTTTTTTACGATGAATGACTGCATATATTGAAAGATGTAATTAGTTTTCCCTGTAAACAGCTGTCATCCCATATAAGAATCGAACTAAGAAGTTTATCATTGACGATGACAGCTTACCCGTTAAATGCCGTTACATCGATATAGAAGCACGTGGGTAATTGTCTGAATTTAAGGCAATTGTGAGAGTGTAAAGTGATGTAGAATCTGACGCATCCAGTAATAACGATTCAACAGCGATTAACGATTTAAAAGGAAAGCGATCTAGGTCGGGCGAGAGACGAGGCGCGATAGACGACTCGGAAATGCCATAACCCGAAATCGAAATCGAGAGACAATATCATAATCTATTGGGTGACAATCGTTTGTGCGAACGTTTCACGAATCATCAGTTTCGCTCGTATCTGGCGACGACATCTGCCTGGCAACCGCATCTTCCTTTTCTTATGTCTGCTTCTTCATTTTTTACCGCTCCTCTTGTACGCGGACCCTTTGGATAGCTTTCCCATGGACTGCATTAACGCCGATGTACTGCTTATAGACATACGAGATGTTTATCGAATATAGCGGAATTACGGAAGGCGTAGTACACGATTATTATTATAATTATTTATTTGTTTTGGACGTGTTTTTGTGATTGATAGCGTAATTAGCTCTTGATTATATAATAGATAAATTGTAGATTGTAGATTTTTTTTCTTTGTTTCTTTTTTTCTCTCTCTCTAAAAATTGAATCTGCTCAAATACGAAGAGCGCGCGTAGGCTCTTTTTTCACTTTCCAACACCTAAACAGATTCCCACTCATTTTCCATTGAAATTACGTGGGTAGAATCCGGTCTGCGTTTGCACGCGCTTTATAATCGGCATCAATATCGATTAACGTCGCGCCTCTTGAATATTTAAATACGCACATTAAATCGGTTATTAGAATATTAGATAAAACAAGAGCAGAAAAGAGAGAGAGAGAGAGAGAGAGAGGAAGTTATCGCCTCGTCACGATCCCCGAGGCTTATTATGCCATCAGCGGTCAAAGCGAAAGTCGTGCAGGAACGTAAATCGTAACGAGCATAATGCATTAAATCATATGTTCAAGAGGTCTTTATTTCTCAAGGTCGATATCTGCCGACGTTATGTCTTTTGAAAAACAGCATGTTCAACGACGTGTAACAGGTTTTTCGAGCCAGGTATTTGCAACGGTCGCTACGTCGATTACATTATCGATCCATGTCCATCTGTTTGCATTTCTTTGTTGCGCGTTCTCGCGTTACTTCGTTGCATTTTCATGTGGCGAAAATTAGAGCATGCCTTACATCGTTGCGATGAGAAACGGCGACGAAGGGCGAAGGAATCGGCGTGACGTAATGGCCCGCATAAAGGCAATAGAAATAAATGACATTAAATTGTTGGGTGACTCGTTTTTAGCGGGTTCTATTGGCAGCATTGGAGAATTGGAGACGAGCATTAGAGAATGAAGACGAGATCAAGACGAAGCTTGCGTATTTATATAGAATCGCATGATGGCTGCTCTTTAAAGTTAGAAATATAAGCAATTATATATAACACAGATTTTTTTTTAGTTTCTCTTACAGATAGCATATTTCTCGGGAAGTCATATATATAATGTATCCGACTATAATTTTTTAGGCAAGATAAAAAAAATTTTCAAAACTTTTGATCATAAGAATTTCCCGTAGGAAAATCTGCGAAAAAGAGAGATTTATTTCAGGACGCGATCATATGCTTCGCGACGCACAAAGACATTGTTCAACCTAAGGGATGTACGAACCGTAGGCTATAGGCAGCTGCTCCACAACGCACATTTCATAGGGTGAACTATACAGGGACAATGAACGAGACCGAATGGTCAAATCGATCCAGGGTTGCATTCAAGACCGTCAGTTTGTACACAGTACATTTTGCATCTAATGGTTATAGTAAAGCGAAATTATTATTTTATACAATAATGTTCTCCCTTAGAAAGAGAGAGAAAGAAATTTTCTTAATTTTTGAAATCAACGATTGATACATAAATATTAAAAAAAATCTTGTTTATATACATACATATAATCTTTTCTGATATTTTAATACCAGATGAATTTTTCATACTGTTTTAATCCTGTTCAGTTCATCCATTTTTTTTTAAAGAACTTTCAAGCGAATATCTACGAGATTAACTTAACAATCGAGATTCCCGATAATATTCCCTAGATTCCCTGTGTTCTCCATATCCCTCGTATCCTGCATATCGGCAAGGTCACGACCTCCACCGAGAATCGTGACTGGATTGTACAGAGCTGCTATGTACAGGTCGTTGCCATCATCACGCCGTCACGCCACACTAACTATCTCGCCAGTTTAATTTTCGTTTATTTCATGATTTCCAGATATAATCCAAAAGGAATGATACAATTGTTTGTCTTAACAAGTTCAGGATTACAAAATAATATATCAAATGTTTATTGTCAATCGTTCTCTATTTAACAAAAATCAAGTCTTGTTAATTTCGCGATGATAAAAAAATCTCATATCAATGAAATGGCTCTGGAATATTCTCTATATATGTATAGATAAGATATCCGATTTTTTTTAAATATTTTCTACGCTTGAATATGCGTTTTGCCGAGTATAGAATATAAGGCGGTATTCTATTTCATGCTATGTTTGGCTCAGCGTCCACCAGAATGCAAAGATTTGCAAGCGGAACGCGAATATCCTGCAGATTTTCTCCTGTAGATCATTTTAATTTTATAAATTGTAGAGCAAGAAGTATAATTTAAAAAAATAATACGTATTTACTCTAGTAAATTGAGTTCCTAATCTTCGAAATCAGTTTTCTAAATAAAGAGAGTGATATCCAGTGGGTGGGGAGGGCTGATGATAACTCGGTAAGTCCTTGGCCTATCCAACAATCAAATTTTTTATTCAGAACATGATGTCACGTGCATGGCAAATGGAACGTACATTGCAATGAGTTGACGGCATGTAGGAAACTTTCAGTTTCCGTATTGTGTAGAATATTCATCAGATGGAAGGAATTGTGAAAACTTACATTCTTTATATATCTTCATGACTAGTTTTCAAATTACAGCTGAATTAAATTAAAGTCGCGACGTTAAACGGTAAATAAATCTTTGCTATCTATTGTTTTGAAAACCTAATCAATATCTATTTAAATTTTAACACGAATTAATTCCATCATTATGCTCTTATCTAAAATCTCATTAAGAATAAAAATTGATTTTCTAAATTTGTTATAGAATATTATCTTGTAATGGAGAGGGGGGTTTCTTCTATACTTATTTATACTTAATTTACAGCTTATGTTAGACATATTTTTCCGATACGCGCGCGCGCTTAATAGTTCTTCCCCCCACTTTGATTTATGAATTCCTACGATCCTGATTGCTCGTATGCGCTCACATCACGGTGGAGAGGAATTTATCGAAGGGCTCACCGACGCTACCTGGAAGGGTCCAGACTCGAATTCCAATCTCGCTAAATCGGCGAAGGCTCCTCCAAGTGGCACTCCGATTTTTTTTTTTCAACGCGTCCACCAGGCGTTCATGAGTAATGCGTGGGACCGGCGTTCGCGAACACTCATATTTTTCCGCGCGGATGTGCACTCGCGAAAAATCAGTTCATTCGTCTTTATTCTCGCGGGAAAAGGAGTTTCTTTATTTCGAAAAATCGGCTGTCGTTCTTCGACAAGCGCTCTGCGCGTCGCACCACGTTGCGTCACGTGCCGACTTACGCTATACTGTCGTGGCAACGGGTGCTCCGATCCTATGTTCCATAGCAACATCACTGTGCGAAGGCAGATCCGCTCGGCGATTGGTGTAAACTATACTGGAAGGGAGAACGGAGAGAGGACTTTGTTCCGACGATATAGCGAGCACGGTTTAAATTTTGGCGGGGTATAACACGTACTATTATGTCTGAGACGTATAATTTTAAAGAATTAAACAGGATTGCGAATACGTGCTTATTTTATTTTTAAAAATATGTCTAGTGTACAGAGTGGGCTTTTTAACCCCATTTGCTAAAATTGCAGTCAATCAAATTTTCTAACGTAACGGGTTGCAAGGATGGCGGTAAATAAGGATAATTCGCTAATCTTGGTGGTATACTCCATACTGGATAATTAAGCTCCTCGGTACCGCTCAAATCCAGCACGTTTTCAAAATACCCTTTAATAATATCCTCTGAATTTGGCCAGCCGCCTTTAGGTTGAACTGTCAAACTTTTGAAATTTTTCATTGCAACTGAAAATAAAATTTTAATTATTGAAGATTAACGCAATTTGCATTTTATGCAAATTTAATGGTGAGATAATTGATAAAATGATTACCGAGCTGTTGAAGTTCCCATATCATATGTGGCGTGTAATGTGAATATCGACAACCCAAACCAAAAGCGCAATCTCCAACAGTCATATAACGTTTGCATGGAGTCTTTGCGTGTTCTTCTTTTAATATTGTTTCTGGATCTAAAAATACAACAGTAGTAGTTCATTATCAATTGCGAGAGATTACGTATAAGTGAGGTTATGTACGATATTTAACATATTTCATAAAAAAACATTATTTAAAAAAAAAAAAAAAACTTACCTTTAAATACGCTATAATGATTCGCTCGATTTTTTGCGTGCTGCAAACTGGACAGATGCTTTTTACGAGCTTCCACATCGTCCTTGAAAGATCTGTCGCAATAGTCGCAATAATATGTCTTGCCCATTGATTAATATGATTGGTGTATGCAATGAATATAGGAAAAAATATACAAATTATATTAATAATTATTGTATATACTATAAGATTATGTGTATACTATGAGAGATGAATGAACGCACTGAACACAAGTTTCAACTTTTATAAACCATTCCAAATGGAGCATGTGTAAACAAAGAGAGTGACAGGAAAGATATAACTGTAGAGTGACATCTGACTGTATGAATGTTAACTGAATACCAATCACAGTTTACCTTTAAATGCGCAGCAGATAACAAAGATTACACGCACGGATTCTTTTTTATTTCGAGAGAATATTTAATTATTTAATGTATCCTATCGATTCAATGTGAGGAGCTTACTTTGACAGAGTTATATTAAACAGTAATTCTTAGAAATGGATTACTTTTTATTGCTTTTATCAAAGAACTCGAGCAATATTTTTCAAATACATATTGACATATAATTTAATTATCTGTCCATATAACATGATATAGAAATATTAATTGTTACATTATTACTCAAATAAAAAAAAAAATTAATTATATATATTTCATTTTTGTTTACTATATTTTGCAATATTATATTATCGTATATATGCATTATCGCATATATGCTCGTTATTGTAACGGATCAAACGTAATTAATGAGTCTGCAGATGATATTAAAAGGTTAGTCCATACATTTAGTAAGGTATGTATTTTAAACAAATGGATTACATGTAATGTACTGCTCGTATGAGCAGTACAGTCGTTTTATTACATTCTTACAATATATTTTACCACAACTTGTCTTGTGCACCGCTAAACTATTTATACGTGATAAAGTAACGTATCGACAAGAATGACTATTATTCGTCGCAACGTTCCGCATTCTATATTATAATTCGATACAACAAGTATTCTTTATCCACAATATTCACTCCGACATAAACTAGATAACGTTACTCGATGATAGGTCATTTTCGACGATATCTTCTCTCTCAAAGCTTTGCTTTAATTTTCTACAAGCGACAATCGTAGATAATCTATGAATAATACATAATCGACCCAATACAATATTTGTTCATAAATTACTAATTAGAAAACGATAAGCAAAAATCGTGGATACCGATACAGCACAGAACATTGCAGCAATATTGCAGCAACAATGCTGTATGGATATATAATTATGAAATCCGAAATTTTGTAATTTTCCCTGGAAATTTTGGGAACACTACTACTGGAAATTTGAAATACGATCTTAGAGCTAGAGATATAGAATGTAGGAAGAGAGAAAATTAAAAAATCAGAAATAAAATAATTGGATAAAATGGGAATGGAAAAATGCTGTTTGACTATATCTGTTTGAACAATAGTTGCACGTATCATTGCAATCAATATCAATTGCGAATATTGCGCACACAATAAGAACATGTTATATTTGAGAGGAAGAATGGCCGTTTGCATTATATTGCCACGTTAACTTGTATAATAATTTTAAACCGCAAAAATTTTATTACAATAAAATACGTGCGATTATTGCTCATAACCAACGTTAAATGTGTAATATCGAAATGTCGCGTAATGTTATTTAATTTGTCTTTAGCAAATTGATATAAATATCGGTATAAATTACAAGAGTATAGAAGATAGAAATAATATTCGCTTTGTAGAAAAACGCGTGGACGAACGTGTGAGAAAGTTAAAATAATAAATTCGCAGTACCCTGCTTTTTATGGACGAATAAAGCTGGCATTGAAGAGTAAACAATTATTTGAGTAGTTGAGTTGCAAAATTGTTCTCGTTCGCTGCTTCGCATTATGCATCTTGAATCGCTTACTGATCGCTCGTTGTGTTGCTACGATCATACACGAGAAATGATCGATAGTGTACACAAGAGTTAGTTTCTTTAGGCCTGGTAAAATAAATTCTCATTTCAAGATATTGATACAAAGATGCTAATTTATATATAAAAAAATGGACTAGATGACAACCAAGTTGAAGAGGCATCTGTCGTTATTCAGGAAAAATAAGCTAAACTAAATGTTAAAAGAAAGATGTAATAAGTGATTGTAAAAAAATGGAATTTTAACTTTGGTATGTGAAGATTTTGAGCAAGTAAACACACACTCAGAGAGATTATTATTGGAAAGAACGGACTCGTTATTTTGACGGATTTGTTCAGTTCCTTTCAAGCAGTTAATTCTGTATATTACATACACGCTTTTACTCGATGCAGTAGAATTTCGATTTAATAGTTGATTTAATTGCTCCATTATTGACAATAGGCCGATAAATTTTTTTTTAAGCATATTCTTTTAAATGCCTTCAAAACATTGACACACAAGAAGCATCTGAAAAAAACCATATAATTGAGACGAAACATATTAAGGAATTTTAATAAGAAAAATTCCACAGATTCATATATCTATGATGATGTAAATTTTACTTTAAAGTTCAAATATGTCATTATTCTCCGTTAGAGGTTCTACTGCATTAATAAGGTAAAATATAATAAATTTTTTTTATTCAATGTTTGCAAAATTATATTAAAAGTTTGGAATTGTTTCTTAGTCCTTTTTTATATCCAGTATATGGGAAAGATTTTTTTCTAAATTTATAGTTCGTCTAAAATCAAGTTGAATAGTAATATTATGATGATCAAGATTCCAGCTCGCTTTTAGGTCAATATGCTTTCTTTCCAAGCTCTCAAGGAGAAGCATACACATTTTTACACTTTCCACGTTTAAAATAAAACAAGTATACATTGGATTTTTCGAAGGGAGAGAGAGAGAGAGAGAGAGAGAGAGAGAGAGAGAGAGAGAGAGAGAGAGAGAGAGAGAGAGAGAAAAGGAGAAATTGTAGGAAAATGTAAAAAGTGCAGTCAAGAAATATACTTTAGTTATCACATTCCGTTTTAACGATATTCAATAAATTAGGAATATTAAAAAAAAAAGCAAAATCGTGCTTTAAACATTCGTAATAAGGAGTATTCGAAAACCACTTTCATAGTTAATAACTTTAAAATTGGAAACACTACAACCATACCGTTTATTTTACATAAATACAGGAACTTATAAAAGTTAACATGCATATTGATATTGGTGCATCTTAATGTATGCCCCGTTTGTCGTACGCAGGACGTCAAAGTTATACTCTATCGCTTTTTTTTTATCGAGTTCCATTTAATATACCTACCAGATATGAGGATTTTGCGTATTTGTCGCTCTGTTCTTGTAAATCACAATTTAGAAATTGTAGGAAAATGTAAAAAGTGCAGTCAAGAAATATACTTTAGTTATCACATTCCGTTTTAACGATATTCAATAAATTAGGAATATTAAAAAAAAAAAGCAAAATCGTGCTTTAAACATTCGTAATAAGGAGTATTCGAAAACCACTTTCATAGTTAATAACTTTAAAATTGGAAACACTACAACCATACCGTTTATTTTACATAAATACAGGAACTTATAAAAGTTAACATGCATATTGATATTGGTGCATCTTAATGTATGCCCCGTTTGTCGTGCGCAGGACGTCAAAGTTATACTCTATCGCTTTTTTTTTTTATCGAGTTCCATTTAATATACCTACCAGATATGAGGATTTTGCGTATTTGTCGCTCTGTTCTTGTAAATCACAATTTATATCGAATATTATATGTCGTCTAAGGAACTATCTGTCCTTTCTTCTTTCTTTATACATCCTTTTACTCTTTTCCTCAATTATGGTGTTTTATCCAATGTATATTATATTACCATACTTAGAAAAGTGTTTTAAAATATCTGTCTGGCACTTTGTTCATATATGTGACAGATATAACTCATAAAAAATGTAAGTATAAATCGATAGTATAAGAATAGTTCAAGAATAATAATGTAGAGTGAATGTTGTCTGTGAGATGTATTCAAAATCGATTTATAGCAATCGGCTCAAGGAACAATTTTTTTTTATTTTTATTTACCATTATACTCTCTCTTTACACAATGCAACTTTTTTCCAGACCAACTTTTTTTATATATCCATAAACGATAGAGATATCTAGATGTTCCCCCATTCGAGTGTTTCAACCTGTGTATATATCTCATTAAAATCCTCATTCTAGTCAAAGTAGAAAGCGCTTAAATCACACTGGTCCCGGGCGAGAAGGCTGGATTAATTGTTAACGTAAGATAAACGGTATCGTTGTTTACAATTTGTGGTCCGAAGTGAACTAATATAATCAAAATTGTTCGACTATCCGTTGTTCATCTTTTCTGGAATGCTTCGTATATTTACGCGCATAACTTACTATAATTCACGAATGCTACATTATGAGGTATAAGTATAAGAAATAGGGGATGGCGTTCAATCTATTAAGAATGGCACTGGCTGTAATAAGTAGTAATCTATCTCCCGGCATCCCTCTGCGAGTAAGCGTCTTATTTTTGAGTTTCGTCGGCAGTAGTATGAATGTTGACCTCCTGGCGGACCTTGTGACCGCGGAAACTCGCTTGGATCTTAGTCGCTGCCTTGTGCAAGTCCGGATCGGCCAAGTCGATCCCCTCTAATTCCTGTACCGCGTCATGCATCTGGAGCAAAGTTTGAGAAAAAGAATGTGAAGCGTGTGAGCATTGTAATCGTCCCTTGATTCGCGTCGCCGTCCTAAAGTCTTTTCATCCTCGAATACATCTTTCTCGAATTGAACTCTGTCCGTGTACAGGGTGTCTCATGTTTAAAGAGGTTACTCTTCTTACGTATCGTCGATGAGACTTAGATTGCGCGGAATCCTGCTGTGCGTCAATTATCCCGTACATAATTAATCGACACGGCACGAAAGTAACTTAAACTTTGTAGACCATACCGGTCTACTGATCTCGGGATGAGCTTTAGTAGCGCTTCAATACCCAGACGATCATCTTCAGCTTGGGAGGCAGCTGTCGATTACTTGCCGGGCATGGATCAACATAACGTCAAAGAGTCTAACAATAGCTTTATCTCACGAACCTCGGCACAGAAATGATCGATCATGACGACCTTGCGCATCAAAACCTGTCATTACTGCTCCATCGATCGAATCAATGTTGTCGTATCAGATGAAGAAAAAAATTGCTTTGATTATAGGAGCTTAGTTATATATTTATTTTTTTTTTTTAAATATAATGCACAATGGATAACGTAAACGTAGTATGACCGTAATGCATTTTCCAGAAAGATAATTTCTGAAAAACATGAATTTGTAATTAATTTACTAATTAGTATTAGAATATTCATTCATATTATTTCTTATACACATTTTGTATGTGTGCGGGAAATTATAAATTTGATTTATTATTAAAACAATCCATCAACAAAAATTGATTTTTTTAAATAAGCGTCTCTTATTCTTTCGTCATAATTAATTGCGCTCCGCTTTACCAGTCTTTAATCTTTCTTGACGAACTGATAATGTGTATGTCTAATAAAGCCTTCTCTCAGAAAATTAATCATCGTTAAGCGAGATTAATTAATTTGCATTGTGCAAAATTGTTAAGAAAATCGAGAAAGAATCTTTCCATTTAAACTCTTTTTAATTGTTATATGGTATACATATATAAAACTTTAAACATCGAACATATTTCGTTAAAGTAAACTTCTGTATTAAATGACTCAATGGAAAGCAAAAGTTTGTTCCATATGAATGACGATATAACGGAAAATGCACAATGAGACGGATGTAAAATTTTCTTGACAGTTTATAATATTAGCTCAGAGGAGAAATTCTGCGGACAGTTAATAGCAGCTCGTGTTTAAATCTTCCACGGAAGGTCGAAGGGAGGCGGATATTGGATAAAGCAACTTCGCTTTTATCTAACTTTTCTAACTATTCTTTGATCAATAGTTAGCGAGCCTATAGGTATATTTAACGAGATTGACTTACCTTTTCTTCTATCTTGGCGGTCGCGCTCTCGACCATGTTTATCGCCGATTTGGCGGCAGCTGTAGCCTGCTCCTTTCTCGACATGTGGCCCCGGAAAGTCGCTTGTATCTTCTTCGCCGCGTGACAGAGCTCTATGGAGTGGAAGACCGTTTCGAGATGCGTGATCTCTCTCCGAGCTTCGAATCCATTTCAAATCATGTATATTCGCTTACCCTTGTCGTCGGGAGAGAATTCCTCCTCCAGCTGTTCCTTCGTAGGTTCCTTTTCAGGTTCCGAAGGTGCTTCGTCGGTCCTCGTCCGCTCCGACGCTGTTTCCGATACTCTTAAACTTTTCCTAGCGTGGTGTCCACGGAAAGCTGCTTGTATTTTCGTGGCTGCTGCCGCCTCCTTCTCTTTTTCTCCCTCTGCGTCGTTTTCTTTCTCCTTGTCCGAGGACTCGGTTTTCGTTGCAGTGTCTTCCGTCGCCTTTGAAATATCTTCAAAGAGAAGTAATTAAAATAATTTTAATTTTAATTTAATTTTAAATTAAACGCGGTTTCGAGATATTATACGCGATATTAGAGATATTATGTGCGATATCGCTAGAAGCTTTTCGAGAAATGATCAGAATTTAGACAATCATTAATTATATAATGAAATATAATACATAAATTATATTTGCTACAAGAGATGCAATCCTATAATTATCAGTTTGCATAAATTTTTCCCAAGTAGAAAGAAACCCTAAATTGATCAGAAAATCCGTAACCGACTGGAGAAAGGGCGCGGCTACATCCCGTATATTAGAAATGGCCGCCGTGTTAGCCACAGTTCACCTACATTTATTCCGAACATTTCACCTTCCACAGACACGTCCAGAGAGCGACAAGTATCGATTAGCGTTTCTATTTTCGCGCTGCACGTTCGAGATTACACACGATGCCCAATATACATTTTTAATATTTCACGCCCTGATGGGAGATGGTGCGGCGAATGCCGATCGATTCTTTTTGATCTTTCCCGATTAAATTAAATCTTCGTGTTCCCGCAATGATTAATCGATGCATGTATATTGATAACGTTCCGATTAAAACTCTATCGTGTTTTCATGCTATTATTTCACGCGATATGACTTTTTCTTGGAAATCACAGAAAATAATTGCTATAATGTCTCTCATTTCTTCCGGCGAAAGAACAATTGTAACAATGATTAATCCTCGCATCTGACATCAAGGTCTTCCAGGTTCCATTAAGTCTTCTTAATGGTCTAACTCAATCACCGGTATCTCTCTGATCCTTGAGAAAAAGGATATATGTGTCTTCGACTGATTTGATTGAGATTTGTTGATTTGTTTCTTAAATACATATTGTTATATGATTAACCGATTAAAATTCTTTGAGCTCAGATAAATGCAAAGTGTGTGAGGTGCGAGGATTAAGTGTGACATTATCGGAAACTGAATTTTCTTTTACAAATGTCGATTAAAATTCTTTGAGCTCAGATAAATGCAAATGCAAAGTGTGTGAGGTGCGAGGATTAAGTGTGACATTATCGGAAACTGAATTTTCTTTTAGAAATGTAGAGAACACTTCAACTATTGAGCGCTTTTGCGCGACACGGTTTCCCTAGGTTACCACTCGACAAAGTGGGACTTCAAGGAAGACACTGACATTTTCACGACGACAGCAATGAATTCTTCCACAGCTATGCGCTTCTCTCGGACTGTTTTATCACATTGTGCAAAACGGACGGATCGACCATGCAAGTCCCCGGTAATTTTATCGACGTTTATGTTTATGTACGCTGTAAAGCTCGGGAAGAAAGTAAAATGTATACGAAGAGAGAGAGAGAGAGAAAGATGATAAGATCGTGGACGTTTTATACGCGTGCATATATAGCGGGTATAAAATTTCAGTTAAAAGCTAAAAATGTGCTTATCTAGGAGCTAGCCCCTATTTACATCGTAATCTCCTTTTCTCGAGTATCCTTCACGTGCTCGTTTCAATGTTTTTTACGACAACAAAGTATCTTGAATGCTTGACGTTCTTATTTCTTTTTCTGATATCACGCAAGGATGTTTTATCATCGATCCACCCAGACCTTGTTACTAGAACTACCCTCAAGGAAATCAAATTTCCCATTAGAGAAACATCGTTACCTTGATGAAACCTCGTAACGTCAAATAGATGTAAATTTCATTTTATTACTAAAACTATAGACAGATTTGATTGTATTGTGAATTGTTTTGTTCTCCTTTGTAAAAAAAAAAAATGTATTACATCGATTTTCATCGTGAAAAAATTTTTATTGATTAAGAAATCTCTGAGACTAATTTTTTAAATGATAAACTTTAGCGATTCCTCTATTAATATCTTGCGACTATGAAATGTCATTTTCTAATTAAGAAATAAAAAGTCTGTTCCAATTTTAGGTTGCGGACTAACTGATAATTAATTGATAGAGTAATATCAATCAGTCTCAAAAGATTTTTTTGTCGGAATATTTCGCGGTTTGTAATAATTATGTGCAAAATGTTCAATCGATCATTTTTAAACAAGCGCAATGACGATAAATCGAAACCAAATATTTGACGAAAGGAGATTTACAAATCTGAGGATTTACTCTCTTTGATCGAGACAATACTTATTCGCGGACGTGCGCGAGAATTCATTTTGTGCATTTATTGGTTTACGGTGCGTGAGACCGTGCAAAAAATAGCTGTCGATATCAAACAGCTGATCTGAAATCGATTTAGGGCTTTCGAGCGTGCAACTACTACCTCCCGCTTATCGCTAACGATAACGATCTCTTTTTACTTGGCCGAACGGTCATGGTTGGCGTTCGATACGCATCCACGGATGTGCAGGCAAGAAGTAAAGAAGAGGCTCGCGCGTCCGCACCTAACAATCGCCTCGTCGATCATATCATCATTCGGCTTTTGCGCGCTCGATACGCGATATTAACGGTGCGCGACGAATGCGATTCGCGTGCCGCGGGACAATATCACTTGATCCCCCGGCCGGCCCCGCCGCCTCTTTTAACCCGCTTTTTCTCCGACGATGTGCATGCACGCGAGGAGGAATCGCCGTTGAATCGCGAGGCGGCTTTCGGGTCGCACTCGCGCCGCGACTCACCTGCGTATCGGAGTCGCGTCGCCGCTTCCTCGCTCTCGGATTTTCTCACCTGCACATCCACGCGCGGCTCGATCTGACGTGCGACTGACTGTTCCCGGGTTCCCGGCGACCCCGTTTATAATAGCGGCCGATCACGGCCCTGCCGCTGCCGCGCCGCTCGTTCGCAGTCGCGGCCCTCTCGATTCTCGCCTCGCGACGAGACACACCGCGGAGCAGGGCCGTCGCAGGTGTCGTTCAACCCTCTGTGCTCCAAACTTTTTATTTGCCGCTTTATTTACTCGCTTCTAACTTTAATCCGCCCGAGAACGCACTGATTCGCGATTCGATGACTTATCTTCGAATTATATTGACTCACGAGGCAATAAATCGTGTCTGTGGATTCAAATTGTTGATGTATCTTGGTCCACTTTAGACTCTCCTGACTCAAGAAAGATATTGATTTTCTTTTTCCTTTTTTTTTTTTGTTTTCAACTATTGAGAAGATTGTTTTATTTTTATATACTTTTCACACACACAAAATACTTATAATTATGCTATAGTTAATTATGCGCTTATTGCGCTCAAGTTCTTTCCTTGGTTCTTCTCTTACTATATTACTGATTTTATATCATAAAACATTGTTTTTTTTATTCTCCTAATTCACAAATGTTTGAAAATTATCGCATTATTGCACAATGCGAAGATAAAAAAATCGTACATGTGTGGTGATGTTTTATCTTTTTGAAGAAACGTTATTCTCTCTCTCTTTCTTTTTATGTTATCCTTTTCAAAAAGCATCACAAGAAATGTATACCACTTTAAGCTCGTCAGCAGTAGCATCGTCACAGCATTTAAATCGCTAAGAAGCCCAAGCGATGGTTCCAAAGAGGATTAAAGAAAAAGCTTATGTATACAATTTACAATCTCTATTAAAAAAGTGTTAATAAATAATGAACATACTAATATTACATCACGTGGGTTTACATTATATATATAAGCTATTTATCTGGCTCATTAGCTGCTCATTATTATTATGCACTCTAGTCATAAATACTGAAAATACAACGGCAGCACGAGGTTTCATTTATATTCAACTCGTGTTAACGAGAGAAATACAAAGACAGTATCATTTACATATTACCAACTTCTATTTTTTTTATAATCTTCTATTATCACATTTCATTTATCGTGAAATATTCTTTTTAACAAGAAACCGATCGCGCCATTTTCAAACCGGAAATTATAACGATCTGCAATTATATACAGCGAAACTAGGTCAAATGTGTTATATATATTGTTATAATTAAATTAGCTTTTTGATCTATCAATCGCGCAGAAAAACATCTTCAACTTATTGGAATTTTGCATTTGAAGATTCAAGAAATTCTTCTGGTATTTCGAATATTTCACATAAATATACACTCATCCGTAAGAACGTGACTCGAAACTACAGTATCTTTACAGTCGATTAGCATATTTCTTTGCGAGACTTTTATTTGTATTGATGTAGTCATCCATCATTCTACGGTAACATTTCTATCTTCGATCGTAGAGCTACACATATAGAATATATCTGTGCGTCGGTATTGATGAAACCCGATATCTCGCATGCAGAAAATTGTCCAAGCTCCGAATAATTGATTTTGCTCGAAAAGCACAAATTACGTTGCTGCATAACTTGTTACTGCAGCCAGTAAAGCAGAATGTGTTTAAATTAAATAATTAAACCTACACGATTGTATCAACTTATGATAAGCTAATCTCCTTAATTATTAGTTATTAATTAATATACTGTGAAATATAGTACGCAAAATTCATGGGTAAAAAATATTGCCACTTTCTCAGAAAAATAAGAACATAATTTCAATCAGAGATTCTTTCGAAGAAACTTCTCGATCATGCGATAAATAAATTAATATTCACAAATTCCATTCCTTTGTTCTTTATTATCATCATAATACACGTTTTTCTCTCCGTATATTGTAATATAATCAATTATTATTTTTCAAACTCAATTACTATATACCATTACTTGACAGATAAATATTGTGTAATGATTTAAATGCCGACGAGAAGCGATCTGTTCCAAACAGTTCTGCATAAATTTTATTAGTAAATGATAGAGTTGTTCTTTATTCTCTTTCTCTTTTCCTATTAATTCTATCATTTAATTTCTTTAATCGGGTATCCATTATTTCCTTACATTTTTCGATTGTAAAAGGAAACTTTCGTAAATATAGAAAGCGAAGGGTTGAACCTTGACATACATCACGCGATCAGTACTTTTATTGGTTTTTCGATATATTCCCATCGCATTCCACAAGCGACCCATTTTTCGTTTGCCAAGATTCAGCAATGTTTATTGTTTTTATTAATCTATTTTATAATTCAAAATATATCGTACGAGAAATCGTAAGACAAGAAGAAAATTGAATGACATTTTAATAAGCATTATATTAATATTAATTTTGTCTTTTCATTATACGAGAAAGCGTGTTTTAAATTTATTATTCATATATTTAATTTTGGTGCGAGTATATATAAATGAAATATTTAGACTTAAAAATTCGAATTCACTTTTTTAAATATTTATACCAAATTCAACAAACATTCATTTATATATTCAATTAAACTAAAAGAATATTTTATTGATATTATATACTTAAAGAAAATAAAATATATTTTAAAAGTTTCTGCTTAATTTCGGTCGACAAATCTTCCTATCGATCTCTAACGATATTTAATAATCTAAAATTTTCCATTGGGAGAATGATCAAGATTATCAAGATTCTCTGATATAAATCTTATAGAAAATATGGAAAATAAAATTTTAGTTGAAAATGCTAAAAATTTCTATAATCCATAACTGCGCACACACTGAATGCATTCATTACGCAGAAAACAGTCGTTTGTCCCTCCGACCCTACTGATTACGTTGATATTACTGAAGCGTGCACGCAATCAGCTCGACAGATCTAACGAAATGTATGTGTATGTATTGAACAGAGGTACATTTATCACTCGTGAAACAAAGCAGACTCTGTCATTGTCAAGATAAACTACGTCAAAGTTCCGCGGTGTGTGTAGTCGCAATCTATAGAAATTAAAACTCATTATGCTACAAAACAGAGCGATAAAAAGCATCAGACAATAATGTAATCATCATCAAAGATATTAACGTCATGCAAATTACAATAACAGAAATGTGCACAAAAGAAAATTGCGTTTATTGCATGGCACATGTAAGTTTGAATAATAATCTCGCCGATACTATTTGTATAATTAATAAATTAAAAGGGATGATCGCGCTCACCCCCGTTCTTGACCGAATCGCCTTCTTTTCCCTCTTCCACCGCCGGCTGAACGCTCTCCTTGCTAGTGTTGCACCCCATGTTTCTCCTCGTCTGTTCTTTTCTAAGCTTTCCTTATATCTGACTAAATCACGTTGTTGAGAGGCACCCGTATTATTGCAGTTCCCTCGTTAACATATTGCGTGAAATAAAAATCGTATCAAATTACCACTTTTCTTAATAGAGCAATTAATCTCAATAATGGCGATATACCGTAGTTGCGTTCTTCTTTTTCAGGAGGCTGACTAAAGATATAAATTTTCTTCGCACCCCTTTGGCTTTTTTTTATCTTGTCATCATTCTTCTTTTTTTATTTCTTTCCTTGTCTGTTCCACCCTTCAGCCTTTCCTCTTTCTCACCCGTTTTAATCTCTTAACGCCCCAAAATTTTATATAAAAATCGTATTATATATATGCTTTAAATATACTTTTAAATTATGGCCTTTATTTTTTTAGTAATGAAATAGAGATAGAGCCTTCCTTTTAGTCACAGTTCGCTATAATTTCTTTCAAGCACACTTAAGAATATATTCTCTGGATCTTTAATTAATTAAATAAGATTCAATGATTTTTATTCAAAACTACCTTGCGCTTTTTCTTTCTCCTTCTTTCCTTATCTCTCTCTCTCTTTGTCTCCTTTTATCTATGTATGCGCGTATGTATATGTTTCGTCAGCACGTTTCTCCTGTTTTTCCCACCCCTTAATCTTCCGTTTTATTCGGGGGTTACTGACACGGGTCGCGTGGCGCCGGCACCTGCTAGACAATCCTTCACACTCGAAGGTAATCCGATGCTCTCTCACGCGTCTCGTTATCACGCGACGACGTTGTCCGTTGACGTCCTGTAATGTCTTCGCCTCTTCGAGAAAGGATTCAACCGGCCGGATCGTGACTTATCGAAAGTCAAACATCACGAGCACGCAGACGAGAAATTCTGTCCTCGACGTCGCGAACGGTACTGGCGTCGCTCGCTTACGACCCTGCCCTTGCTCGCGTAGCGACCAAGCGACTTGTACCACAGAGTCGCGTTATGTATTATACATATATATCGCGCAGGATGTATATTCGCGACGCGGAAAATTCCCCGTTTCTCACACGCGTGGAGAAACGCACGCGGAAGCGATCGCCACGTTTCTAGCCACGTTTCGGCCGGCGCGGAGCGGCATGCTTGGCGGCAGGAGCTAAAGCGCAAGCCTCGGTGTCACCCTATGGCGGTCGTCCTTCTGTAAGGGATTATATATATATATACCGGAACACGTTTGTAAAAAATTTCTTCCTTTATTAACAATTAATGGAAATAGAAAATTCCTGTCATAGTAATATATATAATTATAATAACTATATGTAATCACATATCTGATGTACTCCATTTGTAGGCTTCTTCTTGCAGCGCTACCTTTGCATTTTGTGTCTCGAACCACTTCTTTTCGTATCCGTTACTTCTATCGACACCGTCCCATCGATAACCAGGTTTAATACGAAATCGATTTGGCGCGTACGAGCCTTGATATTGTGGCGGTTCTAAAATTGATAAATTATCAAGTGATAGATTTCTTGAAATATATAATACGAAAGATCAAAACAGAATTACATTCGCGAATTAAATACCTGGCTTTCTTTTTCCCTCTTTTATCTGCTTTTGTTTTATGTACTCCAACATGGGATCACCTTCTCTCTCTTGTTCCCTCAATTGTTTATCTAAATCCGCATCATCCGCATACCTTGCTAAAGGTTTATTCATCTCATATAAGTCGTCCTTTAATTTTTCCTCGCGATCCTCCATTTGTTTCAGACTAGAAGAAGACGTAAATTATTACATATTATATATCATGGAAAGATCAGAGAGCATTTATCAATATTTATTAATTAGTAACAAAATTTTAAAACAAGATATATTTCCGATGAAAGATGGAAATATTAAGATGTAATAATCGATAAAAACAAAAAAATCATTTACCCTTTGCCCCATTTGGCGTACTTCTCATCCATCTCTTGTTGCTTTCTTTGTTGTTCGAGGTTTTTCGCTGTTTCTTCTTCAAGATTGCGCTTTCTTCCCGTTTGTTTGTCACGCACAATTGTAGCTTGTCCTTTTCCGCTGACCTCGTTAGTTAACTGAGACAATTTGACATTTATTATCTCTATGAATGAATTAATTGCTTTTATAACTCTCTATTGTAAAGAACATTACCTTGCTAAACAGCTCCGCATCTCGTTGTTTATGGCTCTCAATTTCCTCTCGCAATGCTTTCGCAGCTTGAAATCCCGCTACTTTTCCATCTAATGTCTTTGTCATCCGGTTCTCACGATCTTTCGAAAGATTTTCCGCCTGTCCGCTTTCAGGATCGTCCGTTGCTTCGCCCCATCGCGATTTTTTTCTTTTCTCTCTTGTATCCGAGTGCGATCGAGATTTGCGATCTTGATCTTCATATTCCTTCCGCTTAACTCTGCTTGACCTGTTCAAAAAAATATTACGTTAATCATTTCTACAGATATTCGAAAAATGGCAAAGTATATATAATATTTGATTGTAATTTTTATCGGAATTCTATTGTATTATTTCGACAAAATTATCGTCGATTTACTTTGATATATCTTGTCTGCTAAATCTGGATGAATTTTTATCATAATAATTCTGTCCTCTGTCGATTCTACGTGAACTAGAATATGGCGAATCCTCTTTTCGAGATCGGTGTTCTTTGCGTCGTGATGTATCTGAATTTGAATCTCTGCTTTTTTTATTTTTTCTGCTTTCATACAAATCTGTATTTAAATTGTGCTTGCGTTTTCTAGATGGACTAAAATCTGAATCACTGCCTCTGTTACGTGAACTCCTATAGCTTCGTTCAGATATACTGTGAGTCGAATGTTTCGTACTTTTTCTAGGTAGATCGAGATCTGAGTCGTAATTTCTAAATTGTCTAGGTGGACTCAAATCCGAGTCATTGTCGTTATTCCTAGATTGTCTAGGTGGACTCAAGTCAGAATAGTTATTCTTAGACTGCCTAGGTGGACTCAAATCTGAATCATTATCTTTAGCTTCACCTTTAAATTTTCTACGTGGATTTAAATCCACATGCTTATTTTTAGAATGTTTAGATCTAGGTGGACTTAAATCTGAATCATTATCTTTAAATTTATCTTTAGATTTTCTATATGAATTTAAATTTGCATGCTTATTCTTAGAATGCCTAGATCTAGGTGGACTCAAATCCGAGTCATTATCGTTATTCCTAGATTGTCTAGGTGGACTCAAGTCAGAATCGTTATTCTTAGACTTCCTAGGTGGACTCAAGTCTGAATTATTGTCTTTAGCTCCATGTTTAAATTTTGTATGTGGATTTATATCTAGATGCTTATTTCTAGAATGCTTAGATCTAGGTGGACTCAAATCTGAGTCATTATCTTTAAATTTATTTTCAGATTTTCTATGTGGACTTATATCTGCATGGTTAGAATGCCTAGATCTAGATGGATTCAAATTGGAATCATCATTCTTATTCTGATTGGCATCTGTTTCATTCATTTGAAGTATTTTGTTCTTATTGATAGTACGATTAATAATAGTTAAATCCCCTTCTTCATTCTCAGTTATAATTTTCCATCTTCTTTTGTCCGTGAAATTAACTGGTCCACGTTCGTCAATTATACCAGCAATTTGAGGAGCGTCTTCTCCATTTAAAAGGATATCGAATTCACCTTCTTCAATAGGCCGCATGTTCTTCAAGTCTATGTCATCATCTATAATTTTTACTCTGCAAAGATATATATGTCCATTGTATTATCAAACAAAAAATTCCAGTAAAAAATAATTTTCAAATACCAGAAAGCTTATAAGCTTCAGTTGTACAATGTGAAAAATTAGGAAGTTCTCAGTTTCAAAAGAAAGATTGATTTAATTCTGTGTAATTGCTACGCACATGTATTTTGTGCATAAATCTAAACGAAAAAGTATGACAGAAATAAAGAAAGTAGTTCTTCTTCTAAGTAGCCATATTTAAAAATCATAAATCTGCCTCTGTCTCCTTAAATTACAGAAATGCATGATAGTTACACAACATAACCCAATCTAAATAAATCTAACTTAAACATAACCTCAATGGATACCATTCATTACTGATGCAAGATATAATGATTCTTACGTTTTTGTTCCCGTTTTGGATTTCTTCTTCTTTTTTTTCTTTTTGTCATCTTTATCGCCCATAGACATGTATTTCTTCAAATATTCCTTTTGATTAATTACTTTGTTGTCCATATCGCCAGAGAGTTTCAAATTGCAAGCAGTTTGAGGCTTGGACGCACAATATAAGTCATTAGATGATGATGATTAGATTTTGATTCACACCGAGATTTTTAATAACTTTTATCGATAATAAAATAAATAACAAATTATATCGTATACATAAATATGTTTTCGTGTGTACCGTTGACTTCTAAAAAGGAATCGATAACTTGCGACCACACTACACGGCGTTGCATACGTGGATGATTCTTTTCATTTTCACGTTGGTGCGAATCAAGCTTGACAGTTGCCAGGACTGTTCTAGTTGTCAAACATGCACATGCTCCAAATCGCAATATGGAAATAATAATAATATGCAAAATATTTCGCAAACGAGTTTTCTTTGATTCATATTTTTTTTCTTTATAAATGAATATCTAACGATGAGATATCAGCTATAATTATAATTATAGATAAAATTCTCTATAATAGATATAAATAAATAAAAAGAGAAAAAACTAAAAGATTACAATTCTATAAATCAGAAAATTTCTTATTATATTTCAATTTATACAGAAAGATTACGATTGTCAGCATGAAGAGAAAGAGGACTTTATATTTGACATAATTTTGATTTTCAGTTTCCTTTTTGTGCCTTTATATATATTGCGTATAACGTATAATAAAAAAAATTACGAGTATAAGATAAATAGAGAAATAATTATTTGTTGAGAAATTATTATTTATTAAGAATAATTATTTTTTTCAAGCAAATATCTATTAATTCAATAAATATTGCATATATTTTATATTTATGTGAATATCTGCTACTGACTAAATTCATTACAGATTGATTCAAAATAATAGCTCTCAACGAATTATTTTTTCGTTATCGCTTTACACTTGCTAAGCCTCATCGCTTAAATATCGCGTCCTTCGTTTTTATCGACAAACGGAACCTTAACGCGATTCAAATAACATGGAATGCCAAAAACAGCAAATGTACAATATTGGCTAACATAAAAAGTATCAGCCAGGTGAGACCAGATGAGAGAGACTAATCGGAAACACAGACTGGATTGGAGGTGGAAAAGAAGTAGCCAGGCAGGAGGTAGGGAGCGAAAGTGAGCGCGTCTCCAAGAATGGGCAAGGAGCGGACCATTGCGAAAAGGTGACAGGAAGGTTCGCGGTGGGCGATAGCCAGGAGGTTCGTATCGGGGCGAGTTGGTGCTCATCAATCTTTGTTCGATCATCTATCGATCGCGAAAAGTACGGAGAATCCGTGCGGAATGTGCCGCTATTTTCAAATGGACAAAAATGCGATGATGAAGTGCATCGTGGCATAACTGGTACCACTATTCTTGCTAGCACGCAAAAGAGTTTGTGAAAGAGAGAAAAAGAGAGAGAAAGAAGAAAGAAACGAGAGGGAGAGACGCGTGCCACATGCTACGAACGTGCTGATGCGATGCAAGCCAGTGATTCTCACCTCGCATCATGAGATAGCGAATGGAAAAAGGTTGTTCCTTGCGCATACCTTGATGTGCATTCAGTGAGCGTGAAGCCGCGGTGACGTAAACGCCCGCACGAACCGTCAGTCTCTGTAAATATAACTGAAAAAGTGTTCTTCTCGCGGCAGGATGACGAGGAAGCTCAGCAAGTTCTTAATACTTTTCGATAATACGAATCTACTGTATTTCCCTGGACACTTCTTGTCCGGTCGTGTTCTCATAGAGCTGGACGATGAGGCTTAGTAAGTAACATTAAAAAAAAAATCAGGAAGATTTATATTAATGTTTGAAGAAATTATTTTTATGCGTGTAAAAAAATAATGCGTTAGAAATTTTTTTTTACCGCGATATGACGCTAAATCTAATCATATCGAGTGCGTAACGCCAATTAATAATGTGGGATACGTTATCGTAGTGTTTCCGGACTGCATTTCCATGTTGTGGGAGAAGGTGTAGTTCGGGTACGCAGTCAACGTGCTGAGAGAGTTTACGATAAAGAGAATTACATTGATTTTCGCATGCGATTGTTGGGCGAACCAGGTGAATTAATTATTTCGAGTTATATCGTATAATTCAATGACTATGTCATCATTTAAATTACTAATTTTACGTTTTAAAGGGTACATCTCTGTCTTTAAAAATAACACATGCACCATGAATTATATTTATTTTTATCGTATAATAATAGTTTAACACGAAAAGTATCTTTATAATAATTTGCAATTATATAATAA